GTCAAGTCATATAGTTAACCTTGAGAGATATTTCATTACATAGGTGTATACAAACATGTATTCTCAATGGTCCTATATCGAGGCTTCGACTTAAATAAAATCAAAAAAACATGTTGTATTAAAAAAATATATTCTACTTCATTTTGAAAAAAGAATAGACACGTCTTATGGCTGTCATGTATTTCAATAATATGTTGCTTCAGGTAACATTAAGGGAAATATTTTTGAAAACATTTGTGTATAATATTTCAGTAAAAATTACTAATTAGTATATAATTTTTATAAAACCTACACGGCAGGGTCTTAAATTCTTTTTGTAGGTATGTCAATAAAAATGTAATAACCATATATGTCCAATCGAATGAATTGTTAGCAAAAAATTAAATTATTTCTACTTCTATTGTTTTTTTTTCTGAATTCGTTATGTTGTAATAAAAGTTTATCTCAACAAGCTATTGATGTGGAGTTTCTTAATTGTAAAACCGTGGTAACACTTTGGATTCAATTGATGAAGTTTAAATCATATTTTCTTGTTATGAGCAATGTGATCGAGTATGTCCCTGGTCTCAATTTAAAAAAACTGTTCCGATGGTTAGCACTCATTTGCCGTCGGTTAATCATTAAATATGGTGAGGACAGGAAATTGTCTTGGGAAAAAATTCAACTGTAAACACTATTATATGTTAATAATATGGTAATTTATTACAGTTTAATTTTAACGTTAAGTACACGTACGAAATACAACACTACAGGTACGGTCGCCTCTAAATTCGCGGTCAGAATCTGGTCCTACTTTTTTATTTCTGAAGACATGCGAATAAAAACAGATCCGCGACCTTGGAAGGGAGAGGGGATCGCCTATAATGTCTCCTTGACCACGTGCTACTGGACGAACGTGAAAGGAAGCAGAACGGGATCATTTTGGAATACATGAAAACAGTCCGAACAGTCTGCTTTAGTTTTATAATATATTAAGTCTTTAAATTTTAGGTTCCCGCATATCTGCGTGTAATGACATCTGTGTGAAATGACCAATGGATACACATTATAGAGTAAAGTAATTTGCCTACATTTTACTCATATTTTAGTGAGCATAAGCATCCCTTTCAACAAGAGTAACTATACTATTTAGTACTACGTTCATAGACAATTGAAAACTTTTAAGTATCTCATAAGGATGTGTAATAATTTAAAACTTTATAATATACAGGTATTATTAATAATACAGATTATGACTTTTTTTAATCGTGTTTTATCATAGATTTTGGATACTTCAGAACTTACGATGTATATTATTAACTCATATTTCGTAGTTTCTATATTTTCTGTAGGAATATAGAATAATTTTTTTTTAAACAACTAAAGGTTTGATTGCTGATTTGATGCAGTTAAAGTATTAAACGACTGTTAAATACTTCTATATATTTTATTATGTCCATGTTTCAATTGAAATACCATTAAATTTTAAAAACTTTTAGGAGCAATGATAAATTGTCAATTAGTCAATTATTTTAACAATGAGAATATCGGACATCTTTGAACGTATTAAATATCAATTGACTTACATACTCAGATAACTTATATCAAGTATTTACAAATGACCCGCGTGTTATTTAAAGCAATTTCATACTCATTTTGGTAAGACTCAGTGAAATTATCAGCAATGACTTGCAGATGAAACATCTACAGTGCAATGAGAAATTTAAAAATATATATATATATATGTATTTACGATCTTTAAAACTAAAAACTAACGAGTAGGTTTGGCTTGTGGTAACTGATTATACGGAAGCTGGTTAACGTGTGAAAGAGAACACTCTTTACTATACTTTTGCTCGGGTTAGATTATATGGGTATACATTTATCTGTTCTTTAATTATTTATTTCATATGGCCAGTTTTAAGGTATAATAACTAATGAGTAATCACATACAAATTTTGTTTTCATATGTCTTTTGATTAACAACATGATGATAATATAATATAGTGATTCAAAATATACTTAACATAGTAAATACAAAACATAAAAAAAATATTCTGATTCGTTTGTTTTCGTAAATCATAAACCAAAATTATTTAACGGTCTTGTTTTATTGAATTTGATTATAATACTATAATTTTTTTATTACATCATCCACAGTAGTTTGGAATATTTTTAAATTGTTACATAATCATAACATTACTTGCCGTACTTATAGGTTATGAATGTTATGATATTTGTTAAATTTTATCTTGATTTGTTTTGTACAGGTAGGTACTATATTAGCTGATATACTTAAAAAAAATGCTTTGTAATTTTAATTAAATTCAAAAACACTAAGTTTAATTGATTACATTTAAGTAATATTCATTGTAATAAATCACTTCGTTTAAGAATCATTAAAATAAGTAAACAATTTTAATTAATTCGTCAGACTTGCAGTGCATGGGTTCGGGGAAAATTGAATATCAAACAACTACTAAAAGCTGCATATTTTTATAAAATATGTATATAGGTACAACAGTTAGGATTGTACTGTTGAATTAATATACCTATAAGTAGGTAACTATAATATGTAGGTACCTATGTTAATATTTGCATTTGAAATTATGTAAGTATTATTATTATTTATTTATTTCTCGGAAACAAGAACAAAGTATATTTGTTTGTTTTTATTGAGCTAAAGAACGTGTCCAGTGACATGACACAAATATTGAAATATGATGCCAAATGTCTTCAATGTAGAAACGAATAAGAATATAACTGGATTACTGTGTTAACACGCATCATGTGTGACGTGTCACATATTAGCACTTATAATCACTTGTTGATCCTTTTCAGTTAATTTTTTTAAAAGTTTATCTTTTAAACGTGTATTGCATTAACAGAATACTTCTGATGTTACTGAATTAGTAAGTTATAACACATCATACTAAATAATTAATTCATAGCTAAACGGTAAAAGTAAAATTATACAAATAAATACATTTAGAGAAGCATCATACAATTAAAATAACATTATGATGGGTAAAATTTCAATGTATGATTTTTACAGAAAGTTATGGAGAAAATAAAATATTTAGGGGGTGACAGTTGGTTAAAAATTCGGGGAGGGGTAACTCCCATTTCTTTGTTAATTTTAATCTTACGATCTGCAATCTCAAGATTTATCAGAACACAGAATTTATCATTGATTTTAACTTAATTTAAAAATGTAGCACAATATTTGAATATTGTCATTTGCCAGTGCTGTACAAAGATAACCAAAACATTATCCAGATGCTTGGTAGAAGATAACTAAATGTATCTAGATATAAAACAGATAATTTGAAATGTATTCTACAATAATATTCAATTGTAAAATAGAATTTTCGCTGTAAATATAATAATATATAATACGGTCAATTTTTTACCTTTCGGAGCATACAGAGAATAAACAGTATAACACAAGTAATAAATATATATAAAAAAACTAATGGAGCATGAAAATTTAATCTACTATAAATTTAAATAGGCAATAGCTTTAAAAAATTAATACCTCTTCACAAAAATAAAATTGAAAAACTTGTCGAAAAAAACATATAGATAATTAATCTCAGAAACCCCATATTATATGAATAAACTTATAAAAAAATAATTCAAATTGGTTTCATCTAGATGGGGATGAAAAGATAAATATTTGTATCCAGATGAACTATTTAAATAATGTGCTACACTGAATATTGCATATTTGTTTCAAAGTGAGCGAAGGGAGACGCAGTCTATATACCAGTATAATGTTTTTATTAACATTGTTTTAACAATGCCTAGGTATTTAATGATTTTGAATATTAATTAATAGCTGTGTAATAGTATATAAATTACAGATGTAATTTTAGTAGGTAGGAGAAATAATAGAACATAGTTCTCTTTGTTATCATCGATGCAGTTGACGTTTGATCTACAATATTATAACTTATAATGAAAATGTTAAAATATATTTTGCGATATTTCAGTATGGCACAGCTATTTACTAAACGCATTGACTAAATACAAATGAAAACTGCATTTGATTTGTTTACAGGTTTTTGTGTGTACATTTATTATTTAATCAAAGAATGCATATTATAATATTTAACTTTAGGCGCTTTTGCGTTTTCACAATTTATATTTTATGATTTGTCTCTATATAAAAACGTCGAGAGCAATGAGATGTATAAATATCTTGTCTATTTTAAGATTACCCTTCTCTAGCTAGATATTTAAACAATTATAATTAATAAATAATTTGTCAGTGTACACGATTTTCATAGTGGGTACTTATTATGAGTCAAAATCTACATAATATTCAAAAATATTTATTTTGAATGTTGATACATTATTTTAACAATTAATTATTGTGAGAAAAATATTAATAAATAATAAAATAATAATAATAACAAATAATACATTTTTTTTGAGAAAAATATGTTTTAATTAACTATTAAGTATTTGTTGTAAGACAAATGAAATAAAAGTTTGTAGTGTTTTTACCATGATTATTATGTTTACCAGTACAGAAAAAAAAAATATTAATCAAATTTGAATGCAAATATATTATTGAAATTATTTAGGTAGATATTATAAGGGAAATGAAGGTTTTATTATAAAATAATATAATCATTGTTTACAGGATTTTTTTTTCTTTGTAAGTTTGACATTTGAATCGTGTATATAATGTTAAGTTAATTATAGTTTGCTCAACTTAAAAGTAAAAGTAACTTTAGGAATTTACAAGTGGTGAAAAATATGAATATATCATTGTAAAACTTAAATTTTAATATTTAGGTATTCCTTTTATCCTTTATGCCAGCCTTACGATCATCAAGCGTGTAGTGGTGGGAGGGGGTGTTACATTGTGCGTATATTATATGTTGTACTCAATTAATTACTTATAAGTTACAGGTAAACCCATAGAAATCGCATCGCAAAATAAAAAAAAATTTAACGTTCTTAAACATAATATAATAGTTTCACGGCTAAACCAGCGTTGATTTACTAACCATTTCGAAAACGACTGACGAACTGTTCTTAGTTGGCGTGGGATATACGATCTGCAGGAATCCAAGACAGTCGCAAAAACTACGGTACACCAAAAAAACACGACATCGATAGATTTTTGAAACTACGAACGTGTTTACGGACGCCGAGCTACGGTAAGTGTGGCACGTCGTGGCCGGCCGAGTAGAATGATCGGTCACGGACAGCGTTGTCTTAATATTGAACTTCGAAAACGTGCGACGACGGTATGACTGACGAGGGTGCACGGCGCGCCGAACGGACCAGCTTCGCGCACGCCCTCTACAGTCAGACGGCCTCCTCCTCTTCCTGATTTTTCTTCACTTCCTATTCCTCCTTACTGTCTTTCTTCACTACTTACTTCTTCCCCTTGTCCAGTCGTTCTTGTCCTAGCTCAAATCCACTGTCGAAGTCTGTCTACTACAGGTTTTTAATGTGGAAATTCAAATTCCGAAATGTTATTATTTAGTCCCTCCGTGTTATACGTAACTATTATAGTCAGTGTTCAGAAAGTTCGCTTGAAAATTGAATTCAAGGCGAGAAACAAGTAATCATCACAATCACCTTTTTAAAAAAAAACTTGTTCATGTTCGCGTTTAAAAAAAAATGAACGAGTTAATCTGGCGGATCATTTAAACTATTATATTATAAATCTTTAAATATAAAACGTTTTGCAAGGTATCTATAAATCGTTGTAACATTTTTGTTTTATGTATGTAGGTATGATAATTAAATCTTTTAAATAATAACATAATAACTTACAATAATAGATAATCTAGATTGTAATACAGTTTATTGTAAACTAAAATACCCGTACTTATTCAATTTATATATCTACTATACAGTCATTGCCAAATGTATTGAAATTCAACAGCTAAGTTAAGACATAAAGTAATATGACACAAAAAAGTGTTTCTGTTAGTTAGGTATGTGGTATAGTTTAATTAACCCCTTTCTTCAGTTATCAATCCATTATAATACTTATTATCAATTATAAAATATAATGTATTTTTAATATAAATTATACAGCAATACAGCATAAAATATCTTGTCGTGCAAATAAATAGCAAATTGAGTAGCCTGCTTTAAACGTATGAATCATGTATTATAATTATTACGTATTTTTATAATTGTTTAAAAAATCTTAAATTTGAATGAAAATATGAATTTATCGATACCAAACTAGATTAAATGTCGTTAGTCGTTACAATATATTGATAATGATGTTGGACATACATTTTAAAAACAAATTTAATTCGGACGACTCAGACCCAAGTCGCGATCATGTTCTTTCTGACAATATATAGGTACGAGCCTTAGATAGTGACAATCGCAAAATATGAAAGAGGATGTGATGAACGCATTTTTTCCAAACACTGTCGTCTTCCAATAGTATCAGTAGTAATAGTCTTCAGAGTATAAACATAGCTGAGATAGTGCCTCTCACGAGTCAACTAATCTACTCGACAGAAGTGGGAAGCATTGATTTAGTCTCAGATAACGGCATTTTATGACCAAGATAAAAGATACATAATGCCGCAATCAATAATTGAAGTACAAAAGCTTCATAGAACAGAGATAATAACATCCAAAAAAAACGCACTTCTTCATAATATTTTTATTTTAGATTCTGAGTGCAGCAAAAGATTTTTTTATTCAACAATGATGTGTGTTTTTTGTGTTTGAAAACACTTTATGTTATAGAATAAATTCTCTGATCGTAAACTTCGAGGGAGGTTTTTGCTAGAAAATTGGATCCATTTTGGTACTTTTGTGAAGTCAAAATAGAAAATCCTCAGTACTTTTTAAAATAATCGCAGTTAGAACAACAACGAAAAGGGGAGGAAGTTGATAACATCTTTGCAGTAGATGAAGAGCACTATTTTCACCGTTGAGTAAGTCACTGTAATGTATGTGTTGAATTTGATTTCAATAATAAACCATTACATACGAAAAACGATTCTGAGCGAGCGAAGAACTGAACTTATTTGGCTATATTACTAAGTATATTAATTGATGAAATGTTTTTTGACATCTATATTAAAGTATTAAATTATAAGAAATACCTACATAATATTTAAATTCGCCAAGTTTATCTTCAAATGCTCATAAAAAACGTTATCGTGGATTTAAACTTATTTTTTTTTAAATTCAAGTACCTATACCAAAATAATTTAAATATAGTTTTGTTAAATGTCGTTAATGTCATAATATTACTTTTAAAAGTTATGAGTAGGTCACGGATGGTTACGAAATGCTCCAAATAGTACGGTAACTTCCCTAAAAAAATCGATTTAATACATAAAAATGTTATTCACATTTTAAAACATGTCTTAAACTAAAAACCTTAATTTTTTTCGATTTTGTCGTTTGTTTGTTAATTGCTATTGTATTATATTCCTTGATATACGACGGTAATAAGCAGCAGCTTAGTAACTGTGGTAGTCGACCGTTGCGCATTTTGGATATTTTTCTCTATAATATTGGTACTTACACACTAGACAACTGGACAACTTGTAGAATTTATGACGTGTCTTAAAAATAAGAAATTATTTAAGATAATACAAAATTCAAAATAAAAGTTTCGTTTTTTAGATTCCTTGTAATACCTATGAAACTATTGTTTCAAATACAAAAACTGAATAATTGAATCATAACAAATTATGTTCACGATTCTGTATTATTATTTTTCTTTAGTAATTAAGTAGAAATCTATTTGATTTTAAGTATCCAATTTAGTAATGTACAGTAAAATGATTAAAATAAGTTAATATTATAGTGGAAGAAGAAATATTATAATTAAGGTACAACCATAAAAATAAATCCGATATTTCGTTGAAATAAAACATGTCTTAACAGTAATAGTAATTTGAATCACTAATATAATTTTATTCTATTATATTTATTTTATAATATTCTAATAGTTTTTAGACATATTTTAACAATGAATGTACAATCGTGGACAAACGTCTATAAATTTATTTAAATCTATCAAACAGCTCTTAATTACCGAACCAGTAACTTCATTACTATCATTATTTTATACTTTTTTATGAGCACTGTGCCACTGTCACTGTGTATAAACGTATAATCGAGTTTAAATGTTGAAAATATTTTCCATTTATATAATTATTGATTAATGATTTGTATTTAATTATCTATATAGGTAATTTGTTTAATGCTTACTATCTATCTATAAAACAATATTTGTCTTAAGAAACTAATAATAATAGTTCTTTTTAAAAATGTCATTAATGAATAATATGTTATTCATAACAGTTATTACCAATATTATTATCATAATGTTCAAGCAAGTCGGAGAAATGATCACACGACTGTAAATGTTATCAACTCAAAATATTTACTCAGTTAGTATATTAATATACAAGATTATTTAATAGCAAAGATAATATTATATTAAACGGAAATAACTGCGACCAAAAGATTATAGTTGTATAAGCGTTGTAAGCTTATTGTATATTTTATTTAATTGAATGGCTGTCTAATATACTATACAGGCTGATTCACCAAGCATGCTTAATAATATTTTCCTTCTATAATGCAGTTATTCAAAATCTGATTCTTGGAATTTTTAAATATACTTAAGGACCATATTTTAAAATTCTTGAGATGAATAATTTCGTGGATAATTTTTCTGAAATTTTGACGTATCAGAATCAAAATTAGTACTAATAATTCGAATTATTTAACTTTGTTTGGGTACACAGGATAAATGTCCATGATAATGAGTTGATAACATATGGGGGCTAAGGTGTTTTGAACATTTTAGTGATTAATACAAAAGGTCTACGCCCATATTAATCTAACATTAATAATTTGAAAAAATAGCCCAAGTATATACTAGATCCAATATTACATTTATTTTATATTTTTGTAAGACCATTTTTAAGGACTATTATCCGTAGTACCTTCAAACATTTTAATTACTAAGAAACTATCCATTTGAATATTGAAGTAGTTATATCTCAATCTTTGAAAAAAATACTCACCAAATAATTTAAATTAAAAAGGGGAGGTTCTTATTTAAAAAAAACAGAAGTTTGTATATCTACAGGACACTCCTTAAGTAGCACAAAAAAAATCAAGAATTTGAATTAATTCATTATTAAAGCAAACAAAAAAAAAAAATGAAGGTGAGCATGCTCGTTGAATCACTCTGTATATTATTATAATGATAAGTTAAAATTGTAAATTAGTTTCAGTGATTGTAAAAATCTAAATCGAGGAGTACGGCTGACATTCATTTGACCAATACAGTATATTATATTAACTAAGTTTATGGTTTTAGTAACTAAAAGTATTTTGAAAGTAATTGAAAAGTAATATGATACCTTATAATACTATGCCAATTATCTAACATTGTATGATACTAATATTAAGTATAATATAATATATAGGATTACTCGTATTTATAGATTCAAGCATTCAAGATAAAAAGTAGGTACTAAAAGTTTACGAGCCTCCAGAATTGTTTAGATTATCTTTAGAAAAATAAAAAGTTATTTTTATGTTTTGCGAGTTCATTCAACAGTCAACTGCAACTGTTCACAAATTATACCTATTTTTCATTTTGCTATCGGTAAGAAAAAATAATTAGAGGAGAATCTCTTCAACGTGTTTCGTCTACAAGTTATTAAAATAAATACATTTGTCAATTTAAAAATAAAAATCGTAACTTCTACAGAAAGTTTAAGAAATAAAGTGTTATTTCTGAGGTTTTAAGTGTAGCTAATATTATTATCTATCATTCGTTTGAGATATAATACTATGCAATAATCTTAAAAGTTACCAATATATTTAGATTATTACTCTAAGATTATTCAATCTTCCAATAAAATTGCACCATTTCAGCGGGCACTATGCAATGTTCAGAAAAACTAAATATTTATTTATTTATTTTACATTCAATGTTTTTGTTTGTAATTAATTACAGAATGGATGTGACCGTTTTGACGTAAAAAAAAAAAAATTAAAAATCAATAAAAACATTAATTAATAAAATACTGATTTAGCTAATTAAGTTAACTATAGTTAATTAATTTGACATTTCTAATGGAAGAGTTAATTTTGAATTCAATGATAAATCATGTGTGTACGATGAAACATTATTTTTAGCGGACGTCAGTCTTAACATATTATTTCTAAAAATAATTCACAAATTTAACATATTGTAAAACTGTATTATGTGTAGAAAATCTTAATATAAATATTTGTTGAAGATTAGTCTTTGTATATATTAATTGTTTTTGAATTACAACAAAATATCAAAGAGGACTTAGACAAAAATTGGTTTTGCTTAGATTTTATATTTTATTGTTTTTTATGACTTCTTTTGTATGTTATGACTAAAATGCAAACGAGGGGCGGCTCCAGAGACATGATTCTAACGGGAGGGGGGAACTTAGTCATAATTTTCAGAAAAAGTTTGATATTATAATATGTTATTTTAGTAATTTTGTTTTTAACAATACACAATTTTTTAGAAATACGGGCTTGGGAGGGGATTCTGGTACAAACAAGACCCAAATTTCTACTAGAAAAATTTGCAATCATTTTGAGATTTTTCTTATTTATAATATTTATTGTATACCTCAATTATAATGCCATAACAAAGCATACAATACATAATATATTTCATATATTATAGTTTTATCAAAACATATGTTTACAGTCTGTTATTCTTCATAAATATTTTATACAACACTCTGCTTTAAATTTTAAATTATTCATCAATACCCGAAATAACTTTCAGCAACTCTCGAAAATATTAATTAGTAATTCACCAACTTTATGTAAGATGCATATAGGTAAATATTTATATTATGTGAATGCGAATCCGAGGGAGAAATATGCTTTTGTCAGGTGTAGTTTATTTCCATTGCACGCACCTCGAATAAGTCTCCTTCAGTCTCCTCTGACTTAACTACTATCTGCAAAGATTAATTAATGGTGATTGCCGGTGATAATCATTTTTATTTACAATAGAAACAGTCGGAACACGGATAGTCTGCCAAAGTTTGTAGGTAGGTAAGTATTTTTAGTGTTATCCTATAGACGGAGGCCGGCTTTTCAGGGTGGTTAGAGGCTCCAACCTACGTATAACTTATACAACGTTGGTGAATAAACGTTACGGAACGTACGCAGTATTATGTTAAACAGTTTCCACCTGTTTCCGGTTTTTGATCGGAACAAAAAAGGTAGTAAGTATTTTATCAATCTATAGTAGTGTCCCTAGCTGTTTGCTATAATTTGAATCATAAAACAAAATCGTATTTTATTTCTATATTAAATAGTAATGTCCAAAGTTATATAATTAACCAATTCCGATAATTTCCGGAGTTTCAAATGATAAACCAAATTGTTTATACGACTATAGTTATTAATTTAACAGCTTTAAGCAAACTATTTATTAAAGAAAAAAACAGAATTTTCCATTATTGTTCTAATTCTTTTCTTAGATAAAACATATTCTTTTAAGTGTTATAGTAAATCAGGCCCCGGATTAACACCACCTACCGTTGGCCCTAGACCGATGTGATATTACGGTCCTGTAGTGTTCAGTATTTAAATGATTAAGAAACCTAATGTTTGGGAGAGGTAGTGTTGAATCTCAGTGTTTTAAGCATTTAAAAACGAAAATATTTACAACATGGAAATCAAATATTAACTTTTATAATTATAACTTTATCTGATAACAATTTTAACACATCTAAAAATCAACGTTCTTTGAATATTGAATATTGATGAATGATGTGTGTGTGTGTCCGCGGTCGATAATTATTATTTATATTACCTGAACGATATTATTTTTATATTATTTCCTAAAATACTCTAAACAGTAATCGCGGTTTCATTCATCATACACAGTCGTTTGCCCGTATACCGTTACCGTATGCATTTTATCGGTTTATGGTTTATCCAATCTGACTTCAATAAGTAATTACGAACACGAACATTGAGTGTAAATATATGAGAAATGTTATACAAAATATTTTATTTGTTGTGCTAACATCTACAGATAGTTAATTAACTTAAAATAAAAATAAAAAAATATTACAGAAAAATCGTAGCCATACATTTCATTTTCTTAGGCCCTAAAATGTTCGTAGGCCCTAGGCACAGTGCCTATAGTGCCTATGCCCTAATATGGCCCAGTGGTAAATATCTGTTCTGTTTAGTTGAAGTCCAAATAAACATTATCGTGTTACATAACGTGTAATGAGAGTATATTAACGTATACTTTTGCTTGCACAGTCATCTATACGAAGTATCACTCTCTGAGAACTACAAATTATTTTCATTAAAAGTTTTCTTTGCTGTAGCAATTATTATTTAGTATAAACTTAGTGTTTCAAAATCAAAAATAATCCCAACCTTTTCATAACGTTACTTGTCCGCTTTCTTGACCTTATTACATAAGTTGAAATCGACGTGTTTGATCAATTAGGTAAAATACTGTGTACACACTACACAGTGTACTTCTGTATGGCAATAAACTAAGAATATTAAACATTTATTTCTATAAATATGTAGGACGTAGGTATACCGTGCAGGATATATCTACCGAAATAAAATAAACTAAAATATAGCATCTATTTATTTACAAAAAAATACATTTAATGTTTTTATTTCAAATAAATAATAAATGCTAAAGCAATACAACACCTGCTGTTCAATGACTTCGCTTAAAGGTATAAATGAATAAGTATTCACGTTGCTAGAATATGTTCCATAATAATAGTTATACTTTACGTGACTATTTCGGATTAATGTATTGTTCAGTTTTATTTACAACCAAAAATAATGAAAATAATAATAAAAATTATGTTTTAATTCTCCAGAGCCCATTTAAAAACATTGCGTTTTATTTGTTTTTATCTATATAATCGTACTGCTCATCGCAATTAAATATCAAAAATTCTCTACTATAATATTTATTACCATTATAGGAACTAGTCAACTGTCGACACTCCAACAAAATAAATAGGTACCTACTCCTATTTTTATATCTAAACATAACGATTAATATAAATTCAAAAATAAAAACATAAGTGCTTCATTATTAGAACAGTGAATATGTTATATATTATATATATTGAATAAATACACATTTGTACCTATATAAAACACAATTGCTAGTCAATTCATAGTTTTAAAATATTTAAAATGACTGAAAATAGTTGGTTTCGTGATTATTGTGAAAAAACGACTTCACATTGTATGCAGTATTTTGTGATGAAGGATAGATCACCCGTAGAAAAGTAGGTTTAGTATAATATGATCGAATAAAATATTTATTTTGAAATTAATGTTTTTTCAATTTATTATATTTGATTAGAATAAATATTTTTAGGGTATAAATTGTTGGGAAATAGAATTTCTCATTCTAGGTTCTCGCTCGGGGTACTTCTATGCTTATAATAAAAATATTTCAGTATATACCTTCTAACTGTTCTAAGTTTTTCATTATTGTGGTCTTATGATTAATTGAAAAAGAAAATAATCTTTTATATTTTTTTATTTGTAGGGCATGAGAATAATATTAATAATTGGTTGCATACCGTACATTTGCATTTGACTTTTCAAAAGTAGGATTTTGATCACTGAACGATATTTTCTCGGAAAGCACTTTTTTTAATAGTACTTTTTTTATACGTCACTTTTCTTTTTCCAATTCAAGCGCTGTAGTAAATATAATAAGTCATTTCGACGTATACAATTTACAACTAATCACAATAAATAATGAGTAGTTTGTTTTACGATAAAATATATGTAGGTATGTATCTTATTTTGAATAAAATACTAGAAGGATAAAAATTTAAAATATCTTGAAAAAACTTATAAATATCCATAGACAGAATTTGTATTTTTATAGTATTTTATTTTTAAATTTCAAAAAACTCGTATGTATCCTTTTTATTTTCAATAATTTCAATGAACTCTGGTAGAGAATCGCCACTCTTGTGATTCACATTTCGCCATATTTTAGAGTATTGTCTGTAAGACAAATGCCAGTCAAGTATGAAGACATTTTGATATTATAAATGCATTTTTAGCTTGATTCATATCATAGTGGCAGGCGTGTTTATAATATTTTGAAAAATATCACAAATTATTTTAGATTGTTTTGGATTCTGACGTTTCTCTGTATGATATCAATTACGTGTGGCGCTTTAAGAGTTTTGATAGACGTTTGGATTGATAGTCCAACCATCATATTCATTGAAAACACAGAATCAGCCATTCAAGATATACCTTTTCCGTCAATTAATATTTGTCCATCAAGCCAACTACGAAAATGGGTTTGGGAGAAACACATGAACACGAACACCTCCTATTGGTAAGTTCATACGTAAATAAATATTTACTTACTATTTATGATCTGTGTTATTTCAACATAATACTGTAGAGCAAAAAACAATATATTTTGTATTATTCACAGGAGATATTAATTTCTATGCTTTAAACATTAAATTATTAAATACTAAATAGTATGGTTATGTCAGTGGTTTGATATTTTAGAGATTAGTGTGATATAAATCTACAAGTCTTTCGGTGTTTAGAGCCGTCAATAAATATTTTTTAAATTACAAAAAAATAACTAAAATTTTTTAGATCCATTTTTTTCAAAGTTTAAACTTAAAACGTTAATTTGAGAAAATTATAAATTTGTTTTTTTTGATATTTTTAATTGCTATTAGAAAACATTTTGAGAAACGTTTGTTTCATTTTCAAGTTATAGTATTAAGAATTAGAACTGTTATGGGCATAAATCGGAGAAAACAAATTTAAATCGAATGTTTTAAATATCGATTTTGCTCAAAAGATTCAAAATATTTTGAACATTTTATCATACCTATCTTGGTGAAAACTTCAAGTCTCCATTATTTTTTTATTTTTTACTGATCATTACAGCTTCGGTAGCATAGGCCATTAGTTTGTGAGTTTTATACAGTTATATACTTATAAATATATGCTTATAGTAGGAGAGATAAAAAAAAAAAGTTTATACAAAATTAGTGACTTATTCTATTTGGTTTTTATATGTTTTTGTATAATTTTAATGCCTTGAGGAACGATATAATGTTTTCTGGTAGGCATTCGGGACCGATAATCTCGTACAGGTTCTATGGTATGTTTCTTCATTATTATTATCATTTATGACTAGGTATAAATTAATTGACATCTAAGTTCCAACCATGACCAAGATGATTATTTGTATTACTTTTCAAAAAATGTCGTGACTAGTCAGAAAAAAAACACACTCACATAAATCATGATAATGTTGTAAAACCAACTGGTTTTATAATATTATTCATCGTTTCTCTCAGCATCTGAAATGAAAAATCTTAATAGGTAAATAGAACGTTGTGTATCTAAATATTTTGTGAATAAATATGATTAAATACTATAAATAAATAAATAAATAAATTAAAATTAAAAAGTTCAAATTACCTTAATATTCACATTACCTATTCAAATTGTACGCGAGTCTGAAAGTTGAGACAGTGTTTCGGTTAGTATAGTATTCAGTTGCATCTGCATACAAGGTCAAATATGGAGAATTAATTACTGCAGTCTTGTAGAAATTGATTTCTAGAAGCCCACCTCACACATGCTGTAAAAAACTTAAATATTCATTGAATAATGAATTAATATTTGATTTTGATTTTTAGTATAGTAGTTTTTAAAAACCCTCACCAAAATTATATTTGTTTATACTTTAGTTAAAAACATAGACAAAATTCAACTAGAGAAATATATTATATTCACGAGTCTTCTAAACTCGATGATGTCGTTGAATCCACGATGTTGTAATCAAATGTTAGTCAATGATTATATAAAAGTCGTACACCGTGCAAATCTATGACAATTGCGTGCTACATTTACTATACATCTTTTCAATTGAAGTGGTCCGATGAAATTGTACTCCAGCTCCGATCATTCTATTCGCCAGGTGTTAGTAAACTTACTGTGCCGATTCTAAAATTAGTCATACATTTTATCTAGGGAAAATCTTCAACATTATCGCTATGGACTATGTTCCTTAGATTTTTACAATTATATCGGAGACAAAAAAGCTTCAAGAAATTATTTTGATAAAGATGTAATCATGCGTTTGATTAACGTGAGTATAAAGCTTTAACTTAGTAAATTTATTTCTGTTTTAAAATTGAATCTTATTAATTATTGTTCAAATAAAATCGACTATCAGTAATAAGTAATAACTAATGATACCTACCTTAAACATTTAAATATGAAATTTAATTTTTGCTTTTGATCCCAGGATTGTGCAATTAGCTGTTCAGAAGTATTTCAATTGGATGCGAAATGGGAAAATTTGACAGTTTCAAATTTTTGCCAGTTTGTTCAACCAAAACTGAGTTTACTTGGATTATGTTTTTCAGTTAATATGATGCCATCATTTCAAATGCTTAACAACGAATATAATCAAAGGTTAAATTGTATTATAAATAAAAAGTTTTGGTTTTAAAAAAAGCTAGGGAAGTCACTCATCTGCTGTATTATGGTTGGTTTCGAATTAACCTCGTCATTGAGTAAATCACTTTATTGTAGAGGTGGTCAAAAGTTTGGGGGTTAATGAGTGAAGGGTTATCATTCTCATGACATTTATTAGATGTATACATACATATGTGTACCAATAAAATCGATTGCGTTAAAATCGGTTTCCCTTAAAAATTCTAATTTTCCGGTATTTTTTTTTCTAATTATATTAAAATGTTCTTAACTTTTCATTTTTGAACCTCCCCCAAGTAGAAATTAAATCCTATTTTATACCAGAAACCACTCTCAAGAATTTTCCTGATGCTTGCAGATACCCCAAAAAAACTAACATCATTCTAAAACTTGAACATTTATCGCTCTGCTCAGAATCTAAAATACTAATACCATTTTGATCCAACAGGTTTTACATGTTTGATTAGTTTCATCAAGTAGGTACACTTGGTCAGATACCAGAGTATAATTACTAGTATTACTATGTAGGTACTTTTAAATAGACAAATTATTATTGAATATTGTATTATGTTTCAGAGTTTCCCCAAATTAGGCATCGTTTGATTTGCATAAAGCAATGCTTTTAAATTATAGTTTTTTAATTATATTAGGTATAATAGCAGTTAATAGTGGTCATTACGAAAAAAATGTAAAATAGTACATACAGTATCAAAGAGTAGTGTGTTCGTTATTGGATTTGCACTAGCTACCTATATCTATACATCTATTAAAAAATAGAAAAAACATAAAATGGGGTTTTTTTTAAATTCTAAAATGCTCAGTCATTATAGTTTTTTTAATATACGAGTAAGCATATTTATTTAATGGTTAATATTTTATTTTTAAAAATTGATTGATATTTTTAAGCATATTTTATAAATTATAGTAAAACTGTGATCATTAATAATTTATTACATTTAAAAACTACACTAAAATATTCAGTCTACATTTCTAATTTAGGCTACAGACTTTCCAACTACCTAACTTATTATGAAGACATCAGCACAGTATTTTTTTTCTCTCTCAGGTCCACAAGCAACATAGATAAAACGCATTAATATACAAATTTAAACGTTGTTTTTTTTAAAGTGCCTATTACACAAAGAAATTATTACAGAGAACATTATTTTTGAGGGTTTGAAATATAGGTTTTATATTATATTATTATTTGATTAAAAAAAAAATGTTTACATAAATGGTTATTAAATAGCGATAAGTCATAATAATTATACTCAACAATATTATTCTCTGTAATATTAAAATGACTGATTTTTTTCGAAGATTACTCAAAAACATAAATAAATAAAAATTGATTTGCGTTTTGTCTAAGTTGGGCGAGAGAAAATAAACTTGTGCTGACTTCATCAACATTTATACTATTTATCTGAAGTAGAAAAAGTTTATAACTCATTGAAAAGGTTAAATAATTCATTTCTTATTTACTTTATTACTTATGTTGTATGCTAATAAAACGAAAATACACGAATAGAATAAAGGTCTATAATTATTTGTAAATATAATTTTTCAATTTTATTTTGAATAGTATAGAAATTTCTGTATTATATTTCTGTATTATTTTTTTTCTTTTGTTATTTCAGATATTTAAATTTTTTTTTAAAAAACAATTCCTATATTGTTACCGAGAAATCAAATTGGAATTTAGATGATGGATACCCACCAAATTCAGAGAACGATCTTCTTGTCAACATAAACCCTGCTAGAACAAGCGGTGTTAGTCACTACCACCGTCTTAGATTGACGATAAACATATTGGACCAAGAATTTTTTAGTTGTTCGTCTCAAAGTCATTTTTTTGTGAGTAAAAAATACAATTATTGTGTTTATTACATCCAATGTACAGTTTACATTAAAAAAAAAAATGAGCAGATTTTAATTTTTAAAAACTGTTGTGAAGATTATGTTGATAGACAGTGTTTTCAGATTTAATAATCCTATCTGATACGAATAGATACTGAGCAGAAAATTGAATGTATTACAAAATAAATGTATTTACAACGATAATATCAAATTAATATTTGTAATTTTTTTATCGATCATCGTCCTTTTAGAGCAGTAAAAAAGCTTCGATTTCCTACTTTCGTTTGAGATTAAAACTTTTGTGATATTAAACCCATAAATTAAAGACTTCTCATTAAGCGGTCTTATTATTTTGCAGTAATTTAAAAACGAATAACAGTAGATACTTGAAATATTGACGAAATGTTCATTTCATCAGTTTTTATACGTCATGATAACATTTAAAAATTTGTTTGACTCTTTTTGAGCTATTTATGTTTTATAGTGTTAATACTATTTTGATATTATACACAAGGTAATTTCTTTAACAGTGTTTTAATTCAGCTATATTGACTCATTCACGGTATATTAAAACTATTTAAAATGATTGTAGAGTTACACCGTTATAATAATTGTCCGGTATAAAAGAAAATATTTTGATACGTACACAAAGTTCAAAAACATTTATTGCTTTTATTTAGATTACATTATCTCACCCAGCTGAATATTTTTTGACCGATCCTCGATCTTTTATCAAACCAGACACATACACTAAAATACAAATCACTCCATTCGTGAAAAAAATTGATTCTCAGTTAAAATGGCGTTCTTTAGAAGCCAGGAAATGCTATTTGCACAACGAGAGAAAATTATCTATTTTTCAACAATACACACAGGTGAATTGTAATATGGAATGTGTCTTAAACGAAACTTTAACCATATGTGGCTGTGTTTCCTTCGACATGGTTTGTAAGTATCTCAATTTATATAATGTTATGTTTTTATTTATAGTTTATAGTAAAATATACATTATCTTGTATTCGATTAGATTTAGTGGCACCCAGTGTTCAAATTTGTGGTGTCTCAAAAAGAGAATGTCTGATAAAAGCTCAAAGTAAGTATGCATTTAAGTCTAATAAGATAACAAAAGTTATGCCTACTCGTTGTTATGAATTCAGTTACAGTTATTCTATGGATAAATTGTAAATAATCATTTCAAATTGCACAATATAGGACATAGGTGTTATTGTCATCCATTGTTACAATAATACAATGTGTACCTATCAACATTTCGTCCCAATATATTGTGTGTGTCTGGCCAACACTATTTTCCTTTGCCCAAAAAATACAATTATTCTGAAAATAAATAATTAACATTTTTCAACTTTTGAATTTTTCACCGTATAAATTTGATAAAAATGTAAACTTTGATTACATATTTAACCATGAATAGAAATGTGAAATATTATACGGTGGTCTATACCGATGACATACTATTTAAACTGTTCAATCTAAAAAAAAATTAAATTGGACCAAATCACACACATCGAGCATACCATGCATATATCTGATCGAATTCAGTTTGTGAGTAGTTTTGGGGTGCATTGCTCGTAAATTCGTCGTATGCTTGATTTTCATATATTTAGATAATATATATTTCATAGGTAATACATGCCTATTATATCTAAAGATTTAATGTTTTTCCATTCACCGGAGAAAATATCAAGTGGCCCGTTATATTTTTTCTAAGATAATTTCTGCGACTAGGTACTTAGTTAACCAGTAGTTAATTTATAATGAGCATAATAATTAAAAATGTTGATAAGTGGAGTTGTGGGCCAACATTATGATATCGTACCCCCCTGTATGCTCATCTAAAATTTAAAATATACTTTTAACATATCAAAAATACTCATTCAAAAGCTCTGCTTCAGAATATTAAATTTAAAATGTATGCTGTCATTCATAAATATAAAATATGATAACGTAAAAAAAGTGTGAAACAAATATTATCATGTTTGATATAATCATCAATTTCACTCCCAATAAGGATAAAATCATATCGACTAAAATGTTAAATACATATTATACTAATAGACTTTATAATAAAATGTTTTATCATAAATGTTTAATAATAACATAAAATATAAGTTTATTAAAATAATTCCCAAATTGATAGCGAGAGGTGATTTCTCAAGACTAAATAACCGCTATATTTTGATTGTTCTAGGAAATAAAATTACTAATATGATGATATTATTTTCATACAGAAGCAACCTATGAGCCGGAAATGCAATTAATATGCAAATGTTGGCCAACATGTTCTGTGGTTGAATATAAAATTGCATATACGTCCCACTACGATGATTGGGCTTATATGAAATTAACAAATATTGTAAAGAATAAGTACGTAACAGACCATGTTTCACGTCACGTACATAAATGTACAATTATTCATTATCATAAAGATACCGCAAGATATTTAATGTACAATGAACATTTGTTTTTAGTTCCAGAGGTGCGACGGTTGAGTTCGTTTTCAATAAGCCATATTTCACAGCATATACATCCACATCTATTGTAGACCTAGACTCCCTAATAAGTAAGTTATTAAAAAAAACAACTCAAAACTCACTGTTTATATTATAATACCATACGGGCTGACCCATCATTGATCTACCATTACTAGATTTCTTTTTAATTTGATCATTCATATTTGCCTGTTTCCAAAATTCGTAATCATTTCGACCATTTTCCCGGAAAAACTTCGAAGCATTAGTAAGCAATTTAGGTTAGGTAGATAGGAAATTAAAAATAAGTATGCATCATATTGTTTTGTTTTTTTTATCAATGTTCTTTAGAAGCTGCTACACGTCCCACGATGTGTCATTTAGTTAAATTACCACGATGCAGAGTCGTTCTCAGTATTTTTTATTGGGAGGAGGGGGGATATGAAAATGTATTAAAAGTTGATCCGTTAGGGCCAATACATCAGTAGTACGATGACTAGTGAAAGATTATTTTACTAGTTACATTTAATACTCCAGCATACAAAAAAATATCAACTATTTATAGCATAATATATCATCGATTATAGAATCTATATTCTAGATAAGCTATTGAAAGTATTTTACTAATTTGGTAGAATTGTGTGGTAATAATTGGGACCATCAATTTCAATATTTTTAAATTGCTAACAACTTATGCGAAAATCTGTAATTCAATTTCAAACTTGTTTACCGATAAACAAAAACTTTATTCACGTAAGTTGAAAAAAAAAACAAATTCCTCAAAACAAATGAAAATTGTTTGATTATTGTAATATTACATTTAGAAAATTCTAACTATATTTATTCGGTAAAAACTTTTTACGGTTATTCCTTTGAAAGTGATAAAAAAAAAAAATGGTGAAAAAAACTTGTGCGTAATACTTCAGTTGAATATTACATCTAAAATCATTATAATTGATCGACAACAAAATAAATCATAAATAACATTATACTCCTGTGCCTATGGTATGTAATATGTAAGTTCTTGTTTGTATTATGCCCACCGACTACTTCATATTATATTCCCCACCACGACAAAAATTTTAATTTGATATAATTACCTATTAAAATTTTTAATTTCCATACTACCTACTATACAACGAATTATTAATATTTTGAAAACGTTTTAACTATGGCATTGATGTTGTAAATTTACTTTATTTTGTTACAGGTAATATTGGTGGATTAATAAGTTTATGTTTGGGATTAAATTTAATCAACTTGTTTGAAATACTATATATCATGATTAAAATGATCGTCAATTACATTATACACATGTTTGATAATACATGAATTATCAGTGTTCAGACTAGTTTGAGAATTTAACTCATAAAAATATTTATTTAAATCCACTTTGTATTCATGTTATGTCACTACATATTAAAATTAATATTAATTAATAAGCAATTTGGTAAAGTATTTATTTTAAATGTGTGTAAGCAACTATAAGCTTTATGTAGCATGTATATGACAATATATCGACATGATATTTGTCATAAAAAATCAATTATTGACCATTGATTAGCTTACGAGATTCTAATATGTATTTTATGTTTATTATTCTTTTCCATGCTCTATTTAATCTGAACAACTAATTATGTGAACCACCTATTTGAGATACGACGTAAGTCCATAAAAGGTAATTCTGAGAAAACAAGAAAAAACTGTCTTTTCGCTACCAGTTGTTGTACGTTGTTATATTCTCTTCCATACTGATTATTTGCAGTGTTAAAATTAAATATTTTATATGCAAATGTTCACCCATGATCCGTCTATCATTTGATAAAAAATTCCACTCAATATCCCAATTTGTGATATTTTGTGACTTCGTCGTTTTTCAAATAGATGGTTTATGTACAAGTAATTAAACTAACATAAGATAATTTTACATTATACAGGATTAATCACCTAATTTAATAATATATTTTTTTTTTATTGATCAATTATTTGTTTCAAAAACAAAGGTTGATAGTGTGCTTACATTTTTTTTCTTAAATATATTACTAAATTAGTTTATTTAGATATGACTTTTTTTTTATATGTATTACTTTGTTGTTCATATCTGCTTGGTGTCTTAGGATTCTGAAGAGGTGTTCTGGTAAACTGTATTCTTTTCTTGTGTTTTCATATTTGAGACCGTCTGTTAAAATATATTTAATTGTAATTTGGGTTCTACGAGTGATATATATTTGAGGGGTGTCTTTGGCCATTAATAAACATTATAATATAAGCTTTGTGTGGCCTATTCTTAGTCTGTTTAATACTTATTCGTTTTTTTCTGTTTGGACTGTTTGTGGAATAATATTTTCTAATCACGACTACATGGTAGCCCATTATTTATATATTATACAAGACATTTAAATTCAAATTCCAAAACAAAAGACTTTTCAACATTAATGAAGTGGAACAAATTGTTCTTCATAATATGACTTACACAATATTTATAGATTAGTAATGTTTTGTTTTAAATATATTATGTAACCGAGTACCTAATTATAAATTATTTAAATCTTGAAAAACATTTTACTTTGGATTAAAACTATATTAACGATTGATTTTATTTCGTAAACTTTACAAACACCTTACAATATTTCATATTTCCGAAAAAGACATACATTTACGAGGGAAGTTTGAATCCATAAATATCAGTAATTTAATCGATTTGCGGATTTCGGTATCAAGTACAAATTTACATATCCGTCAGAACAACATATTAAATGCATACATTTTTTTTCATTTATTCTAAATAATATATAAGTCGTTTAATATTTTTTTTTATAAATTATTTGTCATCAAAAGTTTATTTTTCTAAATGTATTGTGATATACAAATTGTGTACGTAAATACGACCAATTTAATTTCCCCCAAAACTAGGGAAAAATTCTAGTTTAGGTATATACCTATTTTTAAGTAGCTAAATATATATATTATAAAATGATTTGCTATTCATAAGACAAATAGGCGTGCAGACATAGAGGATTACAATTTTAATATTTACCATAAATTCTTCTCAGAACAATTTTTAGTTTTTAGAATACAATATATTTTCAAACAATATTTTTATCTTATATTAGTTATTGGTATATATATTATTTAACATCTTGTAGTGAAGCCGCTGAACTTGATGACTATGAGTTATTATTTGTTCGGCATTTGAAAAAAAGTGTTTTTTTTTTTATTACAACTGTACTTGTAATTTTTACATGTATAGGTCTTTATTAAAACCGTCCACAATTTGATCAAATAATCAAAATACAAATACATAAAAGGCTCATGTTCTCAATCTAATATCTTACTAAATTAAGTTGTACTGCTGTAGTGCTGTGAGGTTGAGCCAACTAGCAGCTGAACAGTGCCTCTGTAGCATATGCATGCATTATCTATCTTGCATCATGTGAAATACAATAATCACCCACACTAACTTTCCAGATTGGTTCACAAGTTTTTTTGATTGATTGATTTTGTATTTACAAGTATAAAAACTAATTTAAGAGTACCACGTATCCGGAATATTATTGTAGTTTTTATTTTCTCAAAGCAATGTACAAATACACGGCAAGACGACAATGGTTTAAGAAATTTATCAAAATTACTGAGAGGCTACCGTCTACTCTAAACCATCCAAGTTTTGAGAATTTTTTAAAAATTGAAAGATCTAGTATTTTAGTCTATTTGATTATTCCTAAGGGCTTAGACAGACGAACTTAATAGAGTAGCTAGAAAAATAATAATGAAGTACCTGACTTTTTCTCCTAACATTTCAGTTCTGTCTATACTTAGCATAAATGGTGACCTCAATGCTGGAACTGAACTTGGACTGTTTTACGATCTTTCAAGCATTATCGATTGTAAATAATGATTATCCATGTGAATTGCATTCATTGTTTACTACTTGTCTATAGCTGCCAAAATCTTAAAAGAAAATATTTATATATGAACGCTTACAGATTTGAAAAGTATATTTAGTAGGAAATCTTATTCTATCAAATAATATTTTTTAATTATTATTAAATTATATTAAGAATTAGTGTATTATTTAAATACAATTGTGTGTATTTTACATAAATTTATACATTAATATTATATGTGATTTATCATGCGTGATATAACAAAGTATACTTACTACAACTCACATACTATGTGCCTTGGTGTGGCATAGTTAGACGCTTAATCTGTGGAAACGCTCTGAACAGTTAGGTTAGTGGCTCGGTTGTTGGCTCCTGGATGGGTGACCACTCAGGCTTTTAGCAAGAAATCATTTCCACGCAAACAAACACATGTTCCGATCAATTTTTTTTCTCCCACGTAGCACAAGATTAATTACAGTAGTAATTGAAACCTTAATCTAAATTAAAAAATAAAAATCTTTTATTTTTTTTAAATAAAATTATACATAAATAAAGCTAATATTGTTATATTTTTTGATATGTTTGTAGCTATGTACTACCTTACTAAATGAATAATAACAATACGATAATAACACCCTCGAATAAGATAAAGAATAGAATATTATAAAATGTTGTTCAACCACGATATTGAATGTGTTATTTAGCAAATAAAAAACAAGAAAAGTGGAAACCGCTCGGAAAGAGTCAAAATATTTTGAAAATCTAATGATGTAAAGAAAATGGTAAAGTAAACATCTGGTGAACAATTCAAATACCTAGGGTTACAGCCACGCCAAAAAAACTAAATCCCTTTTGTCAAAAACTGATACAAATAACGTAAATAATGCGAATATTGCAGTTTTACCTTAATTTTTTTAGGGTGTCCCAATGATTTTGACTTCTAGGAATTTTCCATTTATAGTACCAACTAGATTCACTTTTCCACTAGAACATATACTGAAGTTAAAAATCAAAGAATTATTTCGACTACTTATTATTGAGTATCATACATGTACAAAAAAAACATATCATTGTAAAATCGATATACTCGTCGCCCCACTCAGAATCTAAAATGTACATCCAGAAGCAACTGAGTAAACCATTTTAGCGAATAGTAGTAATTTATGTTGTTTTTTGGTTTAGGTATGTGGAGTATAGTAATGATTAAGTCCCAAAAAGTGTATGTTGTGAACTAAACTCATTCTATTACACCACGAACACTACACAACTGTCAACTACCTAACCTTATTAGTTTATATATTTAACAATAATGCAATGCATATATTATCATTTATTTTTTTCTTTTACAAAATGTGTTGTATTATAAAAGAGAAAATCTTCTAGATAGAGATCAATTAAAAAATGTGTAGATCAAAATAGGTAATATCCAACACAGCAATAAGCCAATAAACATAATAAAACAAAATAAATAGGAACAATTAATGAATATAGCTACATCTACTAATACATATTGTGCAGTTACAATGCACTTTCCGATATTGTAACGGAGATTTCTACAATTTAGTTACATTTTAAATAATTTTATTCCATTTTTTTTACTACGCACCCGTTTACCTACCTGATCACAAATCTTTGGACTTATTGGTCACTCTGATTACCTGTAACCAGAAAGTATATTAGTTATCCGATATCTACATAATGGAGCATAATTGCGTAAAGATTATAGCATGTATAAAACATTTTTTTTTTTTATTAACTTTTTTAGATTATAAACAATCTGTAAAATGTTTACGAAAAACATATGCGCGTGAGATATTATTGACAGTGAATGCTTGAGCTACCCAATAGTCACACTCGACGAGACAATTTGTGAGGCTATTTTACATACTATGTACATAATTTTATCTAAAACAAATAACATGAATAAACTATAAAACTTTGTTAAAAACTGCTTTGCATGTTGCCTATTTTATTATTCAATTAGTGTTTAAATAACTTCGAATAACTATTTATTTAGAACTTTTCCATCTTAATAATAATTGATTACAATATAAACCAAAACCAATCACTGAAACTTGTTAAGATTTTAATTAAATATTCGTAATTTTTGCTTTGCTTATTTACTAAATAATACTAAGTTAAAATCAGTTTACTAATTATTTATGAACAATATTTAAAATTTCTCAACTTTTAATTATTCTATCATTAATAATTTTAATCGATTTTTCTAACAACTGCTACATTACTAATAGATACTAAAACAACATAGCGCTACCCATCAATTTCACTCAACTTATTCAATATTCATTCAAATTCATTCAATATTTATTTTTATTTTTATTTTTTACTTAAAACCAATAGTATGAAAATTCTCTTGAGGGCACTTAAATATTTTTTATTTGAATTAAAGTACGATAATAATAAAAAAAAAAACTAGAACAAAATAATAGTATTTTAATGCCACATTATCCTAATAACTGCTTTACCTAATACATTTCGTGAATTTTTGACCTAGAAAAATAGATACTTCAAATTATATTTTAATAAATATACTTAGTAGTTGTTCATAAGTACTTTGATCAATGCATATGTTAAATAGGTAAATATACACATTGAATAGAACTGATTGTTTATAAAATTTATAAAGATGAATAAACACTGTTGGTTTCTTGAGTATTGTGAAAAAACCACTTCACCCTGTATGCAGTATTTATCAATGAAGCATAGATCACTCTTAGAAAAGTTAGTTGAGTAATTTTATTATTCGTTTAGCGACTAGTTAAATTATTTTTAATTATGGTGTTGGTATTTAATAACTATGTAATAGGTATCTATTAACTAATAATTCATAATTATATTATGCACCCATGTATGAAAATAAATCCAGCATTAAAATGTATTTTATAAAAATAAATTGAAACCATCCCACTTTTTAAAAACAACTTTATAGATATTATATCACAGAGATTAAAGATTAATAATAAGTTGTAAATATGTATGGCTTAATATTTTTTAAATTTTATTATTCTATTTTAAGGAGACAAAATTATAAGAATAATTATTTTTCATATAATTCGCTTGAAATGTATGAATATGATAACGAGTAAGTGACTAAGAATTTCCCCAAAAAATTACATTCAAAAAATAAAAATAAAACAGTGAAATTACGTACCTAACCTAATTAAATAGGACTCGTGTCGTATAATACCATTAGTAGGGCCACGGTATTTGATATGTTAAATTTGATTTAAATTTAAAAAAAAAATTATTCTAAGAGTAGATAGAATGGAAATCTCTACTTCTAACCATATTTTATAATTTATTTATATTACTAAAAGTAATAACTTTTGTGACTTTTCGAATTATTATTTTTTTTATTCCATTAAAAACCTATGAGAAGTATTGTATTCAATTTTAAATCATTAGAAAATGAATAAGAAAATCGTGGATATTAAAAATAATATTTATTTTAAAGTATTTTAAAATATAAAATGTTTATTTATAGCTAAAAAAAAAACTGAAATATTTTAGAAATTATAAAGTTTCTAGAAATAACTGATGGATAAAATATTACATCAAAATACTCTTATTTATTTTTTACAGAGATTTTTGGTAAAACTTTTGTTTCGTTAGGTACATTGGTAACTAGGAATAATTATTTTTATCAGACACTTTTCATACAATTGAAGATTTTTTTAATGCTTCTAAATACGACATCTAACATGAAAAACACACTTCATTGTTAAGTCAATACATTCATTGCTCTGCTCAGAATCTAAAACAATTAATAATAAAAAAATGAGCGACCCTTTGATTTAATTTAAATTATAAAAAGTATTTATGTACCTGTTTTGCCTATATAGAACGCCGTGTTTAACTTGATGACATTTATAATAATATTATAATAATCTGGGACAAAATATAATAGTGATCTCATCGATAACATCTCCATACCAAAGTGATTTGACATTTACTCATGGATAATTTAAGAATGGATAGACCATTTCTAACCAAATAAAAGGTGACGGTCCGGAATGTGGATAAGAGACAGGCTGCTTTTATATAGTGCTCTTTCCAACATGAGGTTTTATCATTAATTGTATTAATTGTTATATAATTGATAAGACCATCAAAATCTCAAAATATTAATATGTTCATTCTTTGCACCCTATAAATTATGATGGCTTATATATTTTTATATTTTATATGTATTTACTATGTACTTGGAAAATGTATAAATAAGTTTATATCTTTATAAATAATAATACATTTTAAGTATTCATCATGAAATTAATTGGTTGAATATGTTTTGGAAAAGTTATTGTGTAGTTATTCACGTATATAGGCATTCAAAGTTTAAATGTTGACAACACTTTTCAAATTGAAAATTTACAAATTATTTTTTTAAAAAACTGTATAGAATGTTCAATTTTTTAGCTGAGGATTGAAAATTTTAAACAACGTTACATGTAAGTAGTAGCTAATTGTGTAGCATAACAATTCAAAAAATATAAAAACCCAGTTTTTTTAGAGTTATTTTAGGTTCAAATTTGGACGAAATTACATATTAAACCAAAAATAACGATTTTGGTTGTATAATATTTTGTTGCAATTTAAAAATATTATCCGTTTATACTTATTAAAGCAGGATATTTTTATTTTGGTGTAGGTATTATTTTGTATACACATAGAAGCATTCTTAAAACCAATTTTTTCGACAAAGATGAATTTAACCTACTATAGTACTATAATATCTGTCATGTATTAAAATTAATTACTTTAATCACCACAATAATATCATAAAATATATTTACCTAGGTAAATATTATTGGCTGACCGTCTTCTCTCAGAATCGTCTTTCGTACTTATACAATGATTTTATATCATTGAATTCAAATTTAACATATCCATTACAGTGACTTCCTAGACACCTAAGGTTTATCAGAGCGTTACCCGTTTACCCTCTTTTTTATGTGACTGATTTTTATTCTCAAAGTATTAAAAATAGGAATTATTTATATCAGAATTGTAGATAGTAATTATTTTAACTACGTGATGAAATGAACGACCCAATGAAAGTGTTCCTTTTAATAATAATGTGTGCTTGAGTTGAGTGAATTTTCCAAACATGCTAATGCTAAAATATGTTTTAGATCGTTTTGGATTCTTATATTTCTTATCATGATATCAATAACGTTTGAGGCCCTAAGAGTTTTGGCAAACGCTTGGATTAATAATCCAATTGTAATGTTCATTGAAAATACAGAATCACCAATTCGAGAAATACCTTTTCCTTCGATTATGATTTGTCCATCGAGTCAAGTTCGAAAATCCATTTGGGAGAAATACATGGACACGAACAGCTCTTATTGGTAAGTTATATATGAAATATATATTATTATTTGTGATGTGCGCAAATGCAATATTGTTCTAGAACGTGTACAATATAATATTATACATTATTCATAATGAAAATTGATTCTTATGCATTTTACCTTTTTGTGTATTATGACTCATGAGTTATGACATTTGAATAGAATGTGGAATCCTCAGAGAATGGAGACTATTGATTAATCATATTTTTCTCAATAAAATATTTCCTTATAAATATTTTTAAATTTTGATTTTGTTTACTATTACGGTACAAAATGTTTACCGATTTGGATTGATATCAAAAATGAATTATAATTCCATATTAATATCCTAATGACTTAGTCATTGCAGTTCACGTCAGCCCAATTTGATGATTAGAATTAAAATATTAAATTGTTGTGTTTCTTTTTTTTCTGTTCACAAACTTTTTCAGTTTGCATGACCAACCTAAAAATCTTTGTACCAGTTTAGAATAATTGTCGTGCACTATGAAGAATAGTTATGACATGTGGTGATTTCGCTTCCACTTAACTTTGGAAGATCGAAGTCTTACCTGTACATATTATTTTCGTATTCACTTTCCTTAAGTCTTATGACTGGGTTGTAACCAGTGACCGTGTGCATACACTCTGTCGCCGCATTTTGTCCGGTTTTCGAGTTTCTTAACCATAAAAAAGGGGCTAATTTTATGTCGTAAATATACGGTGTGTTTACATACACAGTCGCGAAGATAACGTACACCACTTCCCTCCCGTCTACCTTACGTTACTTTATCATATTGTTATTATAATTATTATTATCTAGTCTTTTTCTCAATTATATAATTATTATTTATGCGTTTATCGGCGATTGCACTTTTGCGGTTTCGGGTTTCTGTCACAGAACACGAGACCGGTTGAAATAATCGTCGATAAACAGCATATAAAAGGCCGCACGACCGTCGACCAGCAACCAGTCTTTTACCTGATCTGTAGCAAGACCCACCCGGGCAGACTTGCGCATTTCAGGTAGAAACATCCACACCCAAAACCTATCGGACGGTATTTCTATCGGTCAACTGTGCAGATTATTCTGGCATTGCATTGATCAACATATCGGTCGCAGTTCATGGGGCAATAGTCGGAATATTCTGGCATTGTACCGACTGTAATATAATGTTCGGTAGGTTCCATCTCCCCGTCGTGCACACTTTTACCATCGTACCCCTATCATAGTGAAACCCAGTGTCATTTGTTATAAAAATAAATAATTCATCAGTGAGACATAAAACCTCTTTGTTTCTTTTTTTGCTTAGCTCACATTATTAATACAATAATTCCAATACTCTACAGGGTGCAATGATTATACATAAAACTTTTACCATTAGTAGTTGTGATGTTTGATAACAAATGATTTCTTTCTACAACCGTTGAGTACAAATCATAAATGTAATATAGAACGCACATTATGTCGTCATATTATGTTAATAATTATTTATCAATTTTTTTACTTTCAAAAAGTAAAAAACACTGAACTAATATGGTTGTAGTAAATTAATTTGTATTAAAAAAAAATAAAATGTTAATCAGATTATATTATTCATCAATAAGTTAAAAATATTTGCAGTTATACAAATAAAGAGTTCATCACGCTTGTAATTTTATTTGTAATGCACAAATGAATTTAGTGGGGAATCAAAAACTAAATACTAGTTTTTAATGCACAATGATAGACCTTATTTCTGTAAATTGTCTGCACATATTAAGACTTCACTTCCTTATAGTAGAGTGTACCGATAAGAAAAATATCGAACGAAATAAATGAAAAAATAAAATAAAAAATCTATTTATGACCTAAACTTTTTCAGGGACAATCTTAAAATATATAGGGATTTGACATGTTCTACTAATACGCATTCTCATGGATTGGAACAAAGTTTGAAGGAATATATTGACGACAATCTGATAAAGAAACTTTTGCATGTGAGTTTAGAATTGAGTTATTTTGAAAGACAAAACTGTCAAATGCGTTCATCACAGGGTAATTTATTTTATCTATCGTTCGTAGTGATTTTTATGTATCCAATATTCCAATGTATAAATACTTTGTTAATGGTCCTTTTAACTACAATAACTAAGTGCGAAATTTAGTTATAGTTGTTAACTTCAATAATAGGATTGTGGAATTAGCTGTTCAGAAGTATTTCAGTCTGATGGTAAATGGCAGAATAGAACGTTGGATAATATTTGCCAATATATTCAACCAATAATAGGCCTATTTGGATTATGTTATACAATTAACATGATACCGTTATATGAAATGTTTAACGACGAATATTATCAGAGGTAATATTAATTAATATTTATTTTTAAAAAGTTTTAAATTAAAAAAAAAAATATTCTTTTTTTTTATTAATTTTTAAGTACTAAACGTAATTGAGCAGATTACTGTTAGTATAAATGTCTATAAATAATAAATATAAAACAAAATATCTATGAGAAAAAAAGTTATTCCATTTGTCAGGTCTGTTTCTTCCTGTATATTATAACGCTTCTAATTATGAAAAAAATAAACATCATTGTAAAACCAATAGGTACGTTATGTATTTTTTTGCCCTACATAATCTAAAATATCAAAGCTAGTACCTATATATGTCTTATAACTAAGTATTATTTGTTTTTAATTTAATATCCATAATCTATATAATAGTGATGTATAATTAATGTATTCTTTTGAAAATGTAGAATATATTACGAAAAATAAATAATAATTGAATAACATAGATATTGTACAGTGGTCAGTGGATATTAAGAAAAATCAATAATCGCCGATTTATTACATATTATCACTGTTGGGATTAGATAAGTACTTTTTTATCAAGATAAAAAAAAAGATAACCTACTTTAAAGTCTTCCTTTCGAGAGTACACCTTAGTACTTCAATATTGTATAAGCTCCGGCTACATGTTTAAATTAATATTAGCAGTAGACATTATTATTAATCAATAACAAAAGTATAACTGAAAAACATTTAAAAAATTAAGTATCAATATCAAAAAAACTATTTTACACGAAGCCTCACAGCAAATTTTAATTATTATGAACCTTCACAGTAGTTGTAGTATGTACTTAAATTGTTTTTAGTAGACGCACAATTATTGTTATTAGCTAAAATACATCTTATATGATTTAAACTATTTACATTTCATAAGTACATACTATACAATAAATATAAGAACATTTTATTTGATATTATGTCATAATGTTAATATAATTTATACGTAGGTGATATGAATTATTTATTTCGGTGCATTTGTATTGTTTCAATACGCGTCGGAACTAGGAAAACACAATTAAGTAGGCGGTATATAGCTCTGACTGAGAAGTGTATTTTTCCTAAAATTAACCTTTAATCATTTTTCTATTAATTTACTGTTAACGAGTCACCAACGAACAAAACAATGAACTGTAGGTATAATTGAATACAGAGTCCTGTCCCCTAACGAAAATATCAATAATACATAATACCTAATAAATAATGTATAATATTATTATGAACATACAATTTTTTTACTTAGATCGCTTGGCAATTCAAATTTAAAGTATTAATTATCAAAAAAATAAATTGACAATAACAATGGGTATTTCATTTTTCGTATAGAGACGAATTTATCTAGATGGTTGAATTTTTTATCTTAGATAATTATTTAGATGGAATTCAACTATTTATCTAGATAAGTTAAAGATAATTAAATAATTATCTAGATAAGTCTCAACACTGCATGTTATATGGTTAATGAGTTACGTAACTATTAAATATATTAAGCTACATTTACTGCATGCTAGTTTTTTTCCATATTAAATTATTTAATATTATTACCAAATATTAAATATCCTGAAAGTACTAATTGAGCTCTAAAACTTGGAGTACAGCTAGAATTATTGCTTTTCATACTCCTGCTAACCTCACTGACCTTTGAAATGCGTCCTTATTGGATTTTTTTTGTTACATCGATGTACCTAATTAAATATTTAAACATCTTACACATTTTGAAATTTCAGATATTTGAATTTTTTTTCAACAAATATTACGTACCTTGATACCGAAAAATCAAATTGGAATTTAGAGGATGGATACTCATTTTATTTGAATCAACAAACTATCGTTGACACGACCCCTTCTCGAACAAGTGGCGTTAGTTATTACCATCGTTTGAGATTGATGTTACACACATTGGACGACGATTTTTTGAGCTGTGCAAACCTGGGACTGGGTATTGATGGTGGTAGATTTATGGTACTTAACACGGTTTATAAAAAATATTAGGGTTAAAGTATGGTAGCTTGTGTACAGCGCAAAACAAAAAAAAGGTTCATTAAAATATTATATTGTACCATTTTACCTATAGGAACGTAATTTAAATACAGACAATATGTTTAAATTATGATGTGCACTTTATTTATTGGGCAAACAATTACTTGAAAGTTGCTATAAAACTCTTAGCGCTTCATTGGAAAGACCAAATCTTTGCGGATAGGATTTTTAGATATGCAATTGTTCCTTATTTAATTGTATCTAAGACTGTAAGATTGAACATTTTCATATGCAAATTTTTTTTTCATTAAATTTTCAGCAACATTGAACATTTTCAACACTGACATTTTTCTCGGTTTATCAATTTTTTTATTTTATTTTTTTGTGCAAGAATTATCTACATGAAAACCGTTAGAGGTAGGCCGTAGTCATATTTCCAGTTTCGTCGTATGTTACAAAGCATTCAAAATTCGAAATATTACGTATTTAGCAATAATAACAAAAACAATGATAATTATTACAATAACGATAATTATCATATCGTATAAACTATATTATTGTCGTAATACTTTATTGTCGGTAAGTGTTTTGTGCTAAGTTAACAAATGGTCTAAACCATAAAAAAATAAATAACTACAAAATCTATATAAAAAAAATTTAAACTGTTCAAGACTTTTGAAAACTTTCATGAACATTTTCAAACAAAAAAATGTTCATGAAAAAGCACAACTCTAGTTGCAACTTTATCACCAACAATTCAATGCGGAAAGAATTCTTAAAAACATTATTTCCGATAATTATACATTTTTCCCAATTTACTGGTTTTCGGCAATGTAGTCCAATTTTTTTGCAATTTCTCAAGTTTTTTTCAATACATCTATTATAACCTATTATTTCTCAAGCGTTCAGTGTTATAGTTTTACTTTTAATCTAAAAATATTTTCAATTGCTCTATAGATACACTCTTAAACAAGAGGTGCATACAACGCAAGACACAAACAACACCATTATATTAACTATTAAGTATACACACTGTTCTTCTTATGGTCTTATATGTCACAATTACTCATACTTAAATTACGGTAAATTATAATTGTTACAACAACAAGACTCTGTTTGTTGGAAAATATCATTATCGTAGTTGGTATTAATATAAACAATGTTCTAGAATGTAAAAATATTTACCATTCTACCCATAATATCATGTTATTATGACTTAAGCTTTATTGTTAATTCCGTTTATTTTATTTAGATTACGTTTTCTAATCCAGCTGAATATTATTCGGTCACTCCGAGAATATTCATCACACCAGATACGTACACAAAAATACAAATCACTCCATTTGTGAAAAAAATTAATTCGGATTTAATGTGGCGTTCACTGGAAATCAGACAATGTTATTTACAGAACGAAAGACAGCTATCAATTTTTCAACAGTACACCGAGTTGAATTGTAACCACGAATGTGAAATTAACAAGACTATATCCATGTGTGGCTGTATAATGATCGAGGGAGCTTGTAATAATTATTTTATTTTAATTTAAACGAATACGTCATACTCGTATCTACTTATTGATAAGTTTGAGCTCATTGGGAAATAAATATTGGTTTAATAAAATTCAAAAATGTTATTTTTAAGTAATTTAATCTTAAAAACATGTTTTTGAAGTTTTTTGACCATAATTTCACACTAAAATTATAAGCTTTTATTATTTAAAGTATCATTCATAAATCACATAAAACATACATTTAAAAAAAAATTCTAAAAACCACATTTCTTCCTTTTTTTCCTGTAGAAATATTACAGAAGTCCTATAGATGTATAGTAATTAAATCCGTTTTCTTATTGATATAACATTATCGTTTTTTTTTTAAATTTGAATTTAAATATAATGCAAGGTTAACCGCATTATGTTGTTTTAACCATCTTAGTAAAAAATCTCAAATATTACAATGTTCTAAAATGTACCTATTATCCTGACCTAACCTATCATGGGGTTTGAATAATAACTGTTTTTTTGAATATAGATATACATTACAATACATTTGTTGGAATACCTAAATTCTTTACGTTTTAATTTAAAATTAAAATGTAATTATTCGATATGTAATACAATGTTGCTTATACAATATACATATTATATACTTATATATTAAGTATATAGAGTATAATGTGAATTCGCTGTCATGCAAATTTATTATTTATTTTTATTTAATATTTTTGTCTCTGCCTGTGGTTTTAAGGATTTTATACAGAAAAAATCTATAACTTCAAAATTTTTATATTATTATGATACTACCTAAAATACTGTTTTGAAGTAATCTCAACAATTTTTTCACATTTTGCTCAAAATTGTTATTTAATATATTTTCGATTTATCGTATTGTTAAATTTCTTTATGTGAGGATCGAGATAAGCACTTTACAATGATTCTCACTTGCATCTTGTCTGGATTTTTAATTTTTATTATCAGTTTTAGGGACAGATGGCTTAAAAATATGTGGTCCGGCCAAATTCAATTGCGTACTGGATGCTATACGTAATTATGCACATGATAATATTATTTTTTATTTTGTTGTACGTTCAACTCCTCTCCATCACAAAAATGCATTTACAATAAAAAATATAAAAAACTTAAGAAAACGTTACATAAAAAACGCCTTGTCATATTATAAGTATATTTCAGTAAACTGCTGTTTTGAATCCTTATATTTTCATGGAATTTTTTTAATTTATACCATTTATACAATTTATACAGAGAATATTATAATATTTACTTAAACTATATATTTATTTAGAACATAATATTATAAAAACACATATTTTAATTCAAACTGTCAATATAAAATTTGACTTACAATAAAGATTATAATATATTTTAAAAAAATAGAATTAACGTACCTACTAACATTTTTTCCCTTTACTCAATTTTCGAGTTAACGTAATTTATGACCTTATATACCATTCTCATTTTGAGGAATAACATAAATTTTTAATTTCATATTCTGAAGCAGAATATTATTTGGAGTATTTTGATCTATAAAAATGTCGGAAAATTACCTAGTTTATTAATTATAAGTATTTACAGTTTAAACACATGGGTGGACTGAAATTTCGCTAAAAATTCCGTACCTGCCACAACGTTACTCAGTTCATCTAAACTATTAATTCTTAAAATTATTTATAAGCTTCACTTTAAAAATTCGATTTTTACTTATCGAATTAGGTACATACGTCCAAAAATATTCAGCTATAGAATAAGGAAATAAAAATGCGTGTTGTCTTTAATGAAAAATTTTAAAAACATTTTAGAAGCATAACGATAACAAAAATAGTTCAAGATTAAAATACTGAAAAAAAATATCTAAAAACGTTAATAATTTTTTAAATAATGTGGGTCTCAGTTGAAACGGATCACCCCATATATTAATGCAATATGTTCATAACATTTGTCATTACTTTGAAAACAATGTAATTATTTAACTGCTTTAGTTATTATTTTATTTACATATTATTTCAAATTCATACTACTACAACTCTGTTTTAGTATTTTATTTCTACCATCAAATCTTATAGTAAATTTGCATTTATATTATATTCTATAATTGCATTTACTTAAAGCCACGATTAGCTTTTTATAGGTTGACGACTACTAAATGCATCATGACAACATTCCATAATAATTAATTCACTCTTAAGATTTTTAAATTCAATTGTCCAAGAACTATGTATTAAACTGTAAAAACCAAAAAGTCATCTATTGCAGTATTCTCTAATAATTTAATTATAAAACTAGGTCAAACATATTCTTCTAACTTGAATGCCGACAATATAACCATATTAAGGTACAAACGTCAAACATAAAATAGGTACCAGAGTCCAGAGGTTCTACAAATAATCCTCGGACCGTCGACAAAATCAGTTAACAAACTAAAACACTATATACATGAAATAGAACTCAGCCAGCTTATGCAATTTAACGTAACTATACATACATGTAAATGATTGTTTAGTTGTGTAAGAAATAACCAAGTATTGCTTTTAACGTGAATCAAAATAATTAGATACTTAAAAAAATATTATATTTTTAGAAATTCTTGAGTATATAAAAACAGTTTTTGTATACTTAAACTTATTATAAGTTACAGTATTGTATAAAAATAAAAATGTTTTGATGTATATTTGTAGAACCTATGGTGTTTTTATTACTTAATATATATTTTTAAAATAACTTAATTATATTATTACTTTTATTGTATTATAAAATTATATTAAAATCACCCATTGCAATGTTTCCTATAACTGCTGGTGGATCATTTAGCGTTCATTTTTATCAATTATTTCATACATTTTAATATTATATTGGTATAAATGTGTAATGAATTATAGTGCATATTGTATAAGTACAGTAGAGTATAATTAGGTATTCATTATTTTAAAAATAAATACATGACTAAGTAGATTTTATTTTATTTCAACTATTCGCTTTATTCTAATATTATAGATTCAACAAAGTTTCCAGAAAATCAAATGGTGTGCAATTGTTTGCCAACATGTTCCATGATCGAATATGAAGTAACAGATACATCACATTTCGACGATTGGAATTACTTCAAATTAACAAATTTAGTAAAAAATAAGTACGTCATTGTTAACAAATAGTGTAGGTTTTTTATATGATATAATTAAACTATTAATATACTGCATAATATGTTTAATATAATAACATAAAATTATTATTACTATTCAAAATTACAAACTAGTACATCGGCGTTAAGCTATTATATTACCGGTAGGGTGGTATACGACAATATTACCTGGTGAATAAATTTAACAAAAATGTGTGTTTTCAGTTCTAGAGGTGCCACGATTGAGTTTGTTTTCAAAAGACCTTATTTTACGGCATATATATCCGCATCGATATTAAACCTGGAATCCCTAGTTAGTAAGTAGTCCATTATACATTTCTTTCAGATGAACGACAATTGCAGAAATCTCAAGCATTGATTATAATGTTGTAATTAGTCGTACATATTAATACCAACTGTCTAAATGTACGTTATATTAAAATTTTGGAGAATTACAATATATTAAACACCCGTACAGACAATAACTAATAATCATATACCTTGTGAGTTATGATTATAATATTACAATGATAATATACTGTCGTATGTGCACTTTTCAAGTGATATACCTCTTCCAACGTTTGAGGCACCAAAATATCATAAATTAACAGGTTACAGTTTGGCTCTCAAAAGTCGATATCGTTACTTTACTGCTCAGACCTTTCAATCCTCAACGACCATGAATTAACCGGTTACAGATTGGATTGAAAAGAATACAGTGAAGTAAGATTACTTTTACCGTTTAAACCTGAAATCCTCAACGACCGTAAATTAACCGGTTACAGATTGGATTCAAGGAGTACGGTAAATTGCGTGACTACTCAAACAGAACAAATAGTTTGGGGGTTGTAAACACTTTTTATTAAAAATGAACATAAATAAATATAACACTTAAACTAATTCGGATCGCCTAGTCCGTATTACGACCGCCACACGTACGTCGACACTCAGCGACGACCCGACCTCTCATGCCTGCGCTTACGGCGACGTTATATACAAAATATTATTGTCGCCTCAGCACATTTAGCTTCCCAGGCTTGACCTATCCTAATATCTTAATTGCTAAAAATATTCCTACCTAAGTAAAATAATTATACCGACGACTGTCTACAATATACGACAATACTATGACCCGTTATGATGGTATATGTTATCAATATATAACTGAATATTTCTTTGTCCTCTGTAGACTCGAAAAATATTGGACCGTTTTCAATAAGAGCTTATCAATATTCAATAGATTCCTTGATGCTCGGAGGGAGTTTATTGTTTAACCTCTATATAAATTGCTGTATGGTGACTCAGGCCTGAATTGAGTTTTAGTTCACAAAAATCGAATATGTTTCTGTTTATTTAAATGATAGACATCGGTGGCCCACGTGTATCGCTAATATTATTGTAATATTTATTCAATATTTTTATTTTTCTAACTGTTTTGATATTAATATAAATGTAATATTCTATTTTTGTTTTAGGTAACGTCGGAGGATTATTAAGTTTTTTATTGGGAATAAATTTAATTAATATTTTTGAAATAATATTTGTTTTAATTAAAATGATCATTAATTTCATTACTCGTTTGTTTCTTATGAAATAAAATATATAAAATTCTATTCAAATATTTGTGTAATGAGTGTACAGTGTACTTGCTGTAGATATTATGTCTTATTCGTTAGAATCATTTTCTAGATACCTAAAGTAAAATTATTGTATGCTTGTCAATTAATTAAGATTTTAATAAAATATAAATATTTTGTTTTTAATCAGTGAACGTGTACTTAGTTATAAATTATTAAAATATAATATTTTATGTATTACCAGCTATCCCGTCCAGCACTGTCCATGCCAAAGATAAGTCAAAAAATATATATATTCGCTGAAAATGTATTTACAACACACGGCGGATTGAGTGCTTTGTGTCGTCGTATATCCCGTGCTTTTTTATACGTAAAAAATGTTAAGTCTAAAACCATGTTTGAGTCTAGAAAGTCAGACACTTCAAGCGAAAATCGATTTAAGAGCAATTTAGTCACTTAGATATACAATCCATGTACTTACGTAGGAAATATACAAGCAGCATTAATATTATGATTTACGCTGGTGGATCTAGTGGTGAATTGTTGACATGGCGATAATCTACTGCAAATGCAATATTTAGCCATCCAAGTAAGCAGTCTACGCCTTAGCTCCTCCCATTAAATACTTGGAATCTTTATAATTATGAACCAACAATTGGTACTATATAAGAAATATCACCAATGATGAAAATTTAAATCCATTACTTAATCTATAATCATCGAGTTAACTAGGTACTTAACCGTCTTTGAATATTTCGATGATTTTCTTGCTCGCTAAATAATGCGTATGCCACGTAAAACAAAATATACAATTGCCATCATCTACTATGGGAATTAATTAACATTCCAATTTATACTATTACCAATTAAAAACAAAATCACAAAATCACATGGACATTTAACCAAAGGAAAAAAAAAATAGTTGTTTTCCCTATTATGACGACGTATGGCAGTCAATACTTTTATGCAATTTCCATTCTAATATAGAATATTATATTATTGTATTATAATCTGTAGCCAAATTCAAACACTTATAATACAACAAAATATTATATATCCGTTTTCCGAATCGAAGTCCTCATACAAGCACATCATTAAATGTGTATTTTTAAAATAATGCTTTCTTATTGCATATCTAGAGCATTAGAGGAACTACAATTCTAAATATCAAGTTTATATTTTTTGTCACCGTATGAAAAAATATTAAAATAAAGAATAACAAATTTAGTTATTTTGTTTTAATTCAAAGATATTTTTTGAAACTTTTAAGTAGTAGTACTAAGAAGTAGTATAGTAGTACTAAGAAAGGATTTTCCAAAAGTCGTATTTTAAGGAGGTGCTAAATTAAGGATTTTGAGATTCGAGGTGAAAATTGAATTTTTTTTTGTTTACAAATGGTTGGCATTAGTTGTGGATCATTATAGTAATGGTGCAAATTAGTATTTTTATTGGTATAGAAATGGTTTCCATTGATGATTACTCGGGAGGAGTATTTAAAAGCATGCATAAAATCATCACGCAAACAAGGCCACGATTAAAGGAATTATGATATCTTAAAATCAAATGAATGCTTGTAGCCCATTAATCAAAAACTACTCAATTGATTATGATGAAAATATCAGGTATTGTTTTTAGGAATTTCATAAATGTCTCGAGTGAAGTTTAAAAAAATATGCCTAAAAAAATCTAATCCGTAACAAGTGGTTGCCAATTTAAGTCAAATTATTTCACAAAGCCAGGTAAGCCGACGCCGATATGCTCGTGAACTGAGATATGCTAAAACTGAGATACACTCGAACCGATATACACCTATATAGCGTTGTATTTTATATTCTCTCTCGGGCAAAGTCACATTTTACAGCTATTTACTATATAACATCAAAGGTCTAAAACAGATAAACTTTATGCAAATCCACGGTTTTTGACCAATTTTTATAAAAAAAAATGGCTAAACATTTTGCCGAAAACTAGATATAACGTGTCAATGCGTATTTTGTATTATTTAATTTTTACTATTCAACGAATACATTTTGAATATAGTTGACACACGTAAAACTACTATTGTTTTATTTGAATAATATTATTTTTGTCATTGGTTGAATGCAATGAACAAAATAAAATAGTTATTGAAGTTGAATATAACTTAACAAGTGTATGATATATTTGATCAAAACCGCTTCAATACTGTTTTAAAAATCGGTGCAGCATATATTTGACATGGTTGAAGACGGGGTAAATTCACGGACAACTCTCAAAATTCCATTCCTAAGGGGGTCAAAAAGGAGTAAAATTAAAAACTTGTCACCAGCCGAAACCGCTGAAGCTATGACGATTGACGAGTATGAAATTTGGAGAGTTGTTTCGTTTTATGTCGTAAAGACCCACTAGGAATGGATGTTCCCTAATGATTGTAAAAATGGTTATTTCTTGGTCAGATTTCACGTAAAAAAATTACGACACAAAAGAACTCCAAAAGTTACAACATAAGAAAAACTGCACATGGGCGGAGCCAGATTGTTCAGCTAGTATATTTATGTAATTAAGGTTTTACTCAAAATAGTTTTTAGTATGCAACGATTTATTATTGAATTCAAATTTATGTTTAAACTCATCCATTGCCTACTTAAAACGAGGTACACGCGACTGAAACTGTACAACAATCCCCATTTTTTTTTTTTTTTAATAGGATAATTCAATCTATGTTTAATCACATTCGAGTGATCTTATTGTCATTAAGTAAATAAATTCGATTAAGATCATTAAAAAAATCCTTAAATTACGTTTTTACGCCTAATTTTATAAACATTCCAAGTTCAATTATAGGATAGATTATGAATTGTTGATAATGCATGAATAATATACTAGTAATATTGTCTTATATTTTAAAGCTTTTTGGAGTTAAAACAATTTTATCAACACATTATTACTAATAAAAATATCATTCTTATTGATTTATATTAATTATTTAGACCAGTACAATCATTATAAAACTATCATATCCTGTCAGGATTTTTACTTTAATATTTGTTATTTATTGCTTAACTTTATTTATTTAATAATACCATGTTAATCAATTATAATGCCAACTTATAATCAATGGTTATTGATGGAAAATATTTTAAATTTCTTAACTTTAAATTATTTTATAGTTAATAATTACAATAGGGTTTCCCAACCCAAGCCAAAATACTAATATATAATAAAAACAATACAGACCAATACCCATTAATTTCAGTCACGATTAACTTAATGCAATATTAACGTACATTTTTATAACTAGTTTTACAAAGAACCAGCGGTATTCAAATCCCCTAGAGGGTATTTAACATAAATATATTATTTGTCTAGATTATCAAATGATAATAAATAGCTACAATAAAATAATCATTACATTCATATTAATAAAGCGCAGATGTTAATAATTGCATTACCTTCCTGTTATTTTTGTCCTACAATAAAAAAAAAATACAATTTAAATTAACATTTTAGTTTATATAACAGTGTTATACAATCGTTGTGCAGTATTAGTTTTAGACTAAACAAAACTGTTTTAATGTAAACGATCATAAATATGACTAAACAAAATTGGTTTTTTGAATATTGTGACAAAACTACTTCACCATGTATGCATTACTTTACGATGAAGCAAAGATCGCTTCTAGAAAAGTTAGTTATTAAATGAATACTTTATTTTTTAGGGCATGTAAATTTTAAACTATGATAGGTAAATAAATATCAAGGTAGTATAGACATATGATTTTATCCATAGCACAGCAAATTTGTTTGTAAAAACTAATTTTTTCAATAGTGTTAAATACTTACCAAAAATGAATTATAGTATAATTTTATAAATGTTTTACTACGATGTAATCTCATAATTCAATGATCGTAGTTCACAAAACTTTTCTCAGATGTTTTTGATATACCTATATAATAGATTTGACAAGATTATAGGACGTTTTTTTCAAAAGCTTAATTGATTTATTAATTTAAATTTGGGAGTTAAATAAAGCTAGCACTAACATGCACACATTAAAACTAAAAATGTTCGGTATATAACTCAGTTACTATAATGTACGGATTAACATTAAATATAAAAACATAATTCAGTATAATAATAAACAACAAAAAAAATACATCGAACACTAAGTTAAAAAAAAAACCGAGTAAAAAAAATAGATATTTAAGCACTACAAAGATGACGTGATTATATCATAAATTTGGGGTCGTGTACCTGCGTTTTTCCTAAAAAAAAATACGCCGTCTTACATTTTTTAAAATATTTTAATGGTACGGCAGGATCTATAAGCTTAAAATGTCACTCTCCACACGAAAGCAAATTATCATTTACTGCATATTTTGCATATTTGAAAGAGTTACACATTATAGTATATCTCAATACATATTAATTTATATTCAATATTAAAAATTGTCAATGCCCTTGATGAATGCCTCATGTACCTTTGATTACCTTTGATAATACGCGTTTAAAAGTTTATTTATAATGTACAGTATAGTACCTATACTGCACTCAAATAGTTATGTTATATAATATTAGGTAAGTATACAAACAATTATCCATGGTTTATTTATACAAATCTTACTAATGCTTAAATATTTTCTAGATCGTTTTGGATTCTCATATTTCTCGTTATGATATCAATAACGTTTGGATGCCTGAGCGTTATGGTAAATATCTGGATTAACAATCCAACTGTAATATTCATTGAAAATACAGAATCACCAATTTGAGAAATACCTTTTCCATCGGTCACGATTTGTCCATCGGGCCAAGTTCGAAAATCTATTTGGGAGAAATATATGGACACAAACAGCTCATATTGGTAAGTCCTATGTAAATAAATATTATTTCTCATATGTAAACACAGCAAACTTGAAAGGAAATCAATTTGAAGGGGTAGAATTTAGGCAATATCCTATATTGGTTGTGAATGATGAGTGACTGTGTGTGTAGTAACTAATCATTAGTGTGTAAGTTCCCCGAACGCTTTATGCAATTAAAGATATACTATGGCTAAGATTCTTGGAAATATGTACCGTACATACGCGCAGTCACACGTGTCACGTAATTTTGTTTTGAGCTCAAAAAAATTTCAAGACGAAATGTGGAAGAAAAATCCAACTATAGTAGCAAGAGCTCGATTTTAATTTTTAAAACATAATAGAATTCTTACTTCTCTTTTGTAGTTGATGTAGGAAATAGATCTTCGATGTTTTTGTTTTGTTTACCTAGTATAGTAACAAATGGATTTTCTTTATTCTTTTTTTCAAAATTCACCTATACTTTAGTGTAACTAAAAAAATCGAAAAATCCATTTCCTACATAGGCTAGAAAAAAGAATAAGGAATTCAAATATGTTTCCAAAATTAATATTGAAATTCTGGAAGAATATTTTTCTTCTGCTTATTGGTTTAAATGCACAAACAAAACGACGAAATAACGACCTGCTTTCAACAGCCTTAATAAATGTCTATAAATTACATAAAATATTTTAAATTATTCAAAATAGACATTGATTTTTATGCTTTAAAGTTTAAACATTATGCAACTATTAAATAGCAATTTTATAATGTGAGGTTAGAGATATTTTATATTCCTGTCAATAACATATTTTCTTATCAATATTTATACTTTTCTCCTGTGATAGAGTTATAATTATAATTAATAAATGTTATTTTTTTTTTTTTGCTCATTTTAACTTAAAATTGTATATAATAATCCAATTGCTTAAAGATTTTTGCTAACCTAACCTTGCATAAGAAGTTTATTTTACCCAATATCATGAGATTATTATTTTATCAAGACCAAAGCTTTGTTCAAGAATAAATTATTTCTTTCTCTTTTCTCTATAATTTAGTCGAGTTCAAAAATCAATAAGATAATCGTAATTTGAATTAAATTTTTGAAAATTTTACCACGTCTGTCTATCGTAATACTGAAAAAAAGAAAACAATATTATACATTATACAATAATCACAAGTTGGTTTTATTACGTGTGTAGTTTTTAATGCGCAAAATAATATGGTAGAAAACCACGGTTGAAGTATGTACCATTGAAGCATTATTCCATGCAAATTATTTCATCTTCTACTATTTGGTCTGTAATCTCTACCATCATGGGCTGCTAAACCACCAAAGACATTGAACAAAATGTGGGTGGCAAAAATAATATGAGCTGTCGCGGGACGCCTGGCAGATGCAAAACATCGAAATTATTTTATATGGAGAATATGCATACAAATTGAAAAGATTATAGTTATGAGATGATTAAGTTTAAAGATTAAAGTTTATTACAGAAATAATTAACGGCATAATTAAAAACAAAGAAAATATGATTTTTTATGAAAAATAATTTATTATTTTAAAAGCGTAATAGATGTTTTGCGTTTGTGATTACGCCTACACCCGATCACATCAGCCGTACAAGATGCTTCACATCAAAAATAAAACATAAAAATGTATTAATATGTAATCCATTTTGTGTTTCAGGGATAATCTCAAACTATATAGGGATGTAATGGCATGCTCTACAAATACGTATTTTCATAGTTTAGAACAAAGTTTAAAAGAATATATTGACTACGATCTGATAAAGAATCTTTTGCATGTAAGTTAAGTTTTTATTTATTTTATAAATGCCAAATTATCATTCCCCGCAAACGATTACACAACCAATAAACATTTTCAAACTCAACTCGACCTTGTTTCTTCAGAGTTCACAAATACAATACCAGCGATTGAGAACAAGCTTACAAGCTATAATACAAAACTAAACAAAAAATCAACACTTAATGCTAAAAACTCATATTTAGTTATGCACCTATTTAATTTTCAGTATGTACCTAACAAACATGGTCATCACTGGGTGTTATACATATTTTATTTAAGTTTCGGTGTGATATTTGTACATCTACTTGGCTCCTCGAATATTAAGTGCGACATTTGGTTGTACTCATTTTTGATTTCGACTATAGGATTGTGGAATTAGCTGTTCTGAAATATTTCAGTCTGATGGTAAATGGCAGAATACTACGTTGAAGAATGTTTGCCAATATATTCAACCAACAGTACTTGGCATATTTGGGTTATGTTTTACAATTAACATGATGCCATTAAGTCAAATGTTTAACGATGAATATTATCAGAGGTAAAGTGTGCAAAATTAGTAAATTCTTATAAATGAAACTTAAAAAGTTTTCAATGTAATATAGCTTTATAAATTATGCATACATTATACAAATTACAAGTATCCCTACCTGATCGATAATTTTAACTGTACTATATTATGAGGTATGATATAACTAAAAATTATTATTTTTCAAAACTTATCCTTACAAAGGTGCATTAATATACTATTATTTAATAATTTCAGATATTTGGATTTTTTTTCTACAAAAATTACGTATGTTGACACTGAAAGGTCGTATTGGAATTTAGAGGACGGATATTCATTTTATTCGAACCATCCAAATATCGTGGATGTGATTCCTGCTCGGACAAGTGGTGTTAGTTATAACCATCGAATAAAATTAATGCTAAACGCTTTGGAGGACGATTTTTTGAGTTGTGCTGACCTGGGAGTTACCGGTGGTAGTTTTTTGGTGCGTTGCATGGTACTTACAAATATTAATTAAATTAATAAAATAATTAATCCAAAAATATTATACTAAATTAAGAATATTTTACCATACTGTATGTGGTATCGTCATTTGTACACTGACAAGTAATAATACCTATATACTAATAGTATACCTATTAGTACACATTTCTAATTTTCTAGTATCACAATACTACGTGTGATTTTAAAGCGTTAAGCGCTTCATAAACCTTGGTAGCTTTCTCTGGGTACAATCTTAAACAGTACATCAAATATGATACATAAAAGTCATTATAGTTAGTAATATTATTATAGGTTACGGCAATATCAAAAAAGTACTATTAAGTAAAATATTTACTAATCTACTTATAACATGTTATTACGACTTAAACACTATTTTTAATTACGTTGATTTTATTTAGATTACGTTCTCTAATCCAGCTGAATATTGTTCAGTCAGCCCTAGAAAATATATTATACCAGACACATACACGAAAATACAAATCACTCCGTTCGTGAAAAAAATTAATTCGGATTTAATGTGGCGTTCATTGGAAATCAGACAATGTTATTTGCACAACGAAAGAAAGCTATCAATTTTTCAACTGTACACCGAGTTAAATTGTAACCACGAATGTGAAATTAACAAGACTATATCCATGTGTGGCTGCATAATGATCGAGGGAGCTTGTAATAATTGTTTCATTTTAATTGATAATCATACTACATGCGTATACGTAACTGCCGGTATTAACACGTAACTCAAATTTTGAACGAATATTGGTTTAGAAACAATGTGGTTTTTAAGTCAGCTTTGTTAGAATTCGATATCTTCAATTTTTCAAGTGGAAAATGGTTGCTCACTAAATTCGATGGATGAGCTTAAGTATTATTATTGGTTCTATAATAGTATAATCTATAGTAATCAAACAGAATTTAATAAAATAATTTCCATTTTAAATCACATAAATACTATTAAAATTAAATTATTTCGAGTGATTACAAAAAATCTATTGCCTGTAGGAATCCAATGTTCTATTATCGTAAAAAAACGAACTTCTCAGCCGCCGCCGCCGCGTCTTTAAACTCGGTTATGTTGTCTGCATCACTTAACATTTTTTTGTCACGTATAATGTCTGTTGAAAATTTTGTATGTGGCAACTTCATGCTATACATGTTATTAAATTACAAGTTATGTTTATGCTCTATTAAGTCAAACTTAATCATACTGCTTCGGCAACGTCAGAATTTTTAACCAAAAAAATGAAATTTACAATGATTGATATTTTTCATCGATATATTCACATTGGTAACTCTAATTCATTGTACACAAATCATTTATAGAAAAATAAAACAATAATTCTTATTCAAAATATTGAATTCTATTAAATAGGTATACATTTTATAACGTTTGTATATTTTTGACTTGCCACTATCAAGTTTTAGTGCCCAGCGTGTATACCAATCTAAAATCTTACGAGATTACATTCTCAAAATAACGTTTAAAATTAAATTTAGAATCACCTGACCGGATTTGTTGTCTCTGTCATACAAACGTACAATGTACAACATTTTTGTTTATGAAAATTGTATTAAAACTGTCAATAAACATTCACTTGTTTGTTTTAATATAACAGTAAATTAACCGGACCAATACAATTTAAATGTAATAATATTATCTGTTATATTATGTGTTATCACGACGAATAATTTTCGTTATTTAAATTTATGAGCATTGCACGCTTCAATATTTTACATGCAGATAACCCTTTTTGAAATGAAAAAAAAAACACTGACAAAAGAACAGTGATAATATTCTTAGCTTAACATTTAATAATATTTCGACTTATCATTTGGCTGAACTCTAATTTGCTATGCTGTAAGACCGGAGATAACACAATAAAATGCGAACACCGAGTCCTTTTTATGAGTTTTTCACAATTGTATTTGATACTGGCGTTCAATTTTTACAAAAAAAAACCCTTTCAGATGTATCTACTTTGAGCAACGTGTCGTGACATACACTATTGATCATGTGTGTTGAGACAATGTCCGAGAAGTTACAATTAAACGATATTTGGGAAATCAATTATACTTTACTCATTGTTTTTAAAGTCTAATTACAAAATATTAATTATGAACTATGCTGTAATCAATTTCAAACAACAAATTATTATTCATTTTTTTATTTGAATGTTTCTTTACGATTTATTACAAAATTCCGAGTGTGACGGGTGGCGGGGTGATAGCAAACAGTAATTCTAAAGTGATGAGTTTTGATATTGTCTACTGATATCAAATTATTATTTGTTACATTACTATAGGTATATAATATTAAATAATTGAAAACAATATGATAAAGTATTTCATAAGTGTTAGATTTCATTTTTAACGAAATCGATTACATATATATTTTATTGAAATAATATTACAAAATATAATCAAAAGCTCGTTAATTATAGGTTCTTAATAAGGTAAAATACAATGTTGACCACTAAAACACATTATTTGTTTATTTTTACACCACTGAATTTTACTATCTTGGTAAAAAAAATCTCAAAAACTTAATTGTTTTTATATGCATTTAAAGTTTGAATAACAACTATTTTTACATTTATATTTCGAAATAATTATTTAAGTTACGTTTTTAATTTGATAATGATGATTTTATATTTGAATATCATTTTGTTCATATAGTCAAAATTTATAAATAATATATTATGGTGCAGATATTATACGTTACATGAATTATTTATTAATGTTTTCTGCCTAATGCACGTAATGTTCAGTGTTTTACAAAGAAAAAAATATAACTTCAATACCTAATTATTGTTATGAATTTATGATGGTAACATACTATTTTTTTAACAATCCCGTCAGCATGATTGTTAACCAATAATTCGAAGTTTGCTCAGAATCGTAAATTCATAATTTATATGCTAATGTTTATCGATTCATCGTATTACTAAATTATATCATACTTATTGCATTTATCTTGACTGTTTTCTATAATAATTGTGATTATCAGTTTTAGGGAAAAATGGCTCAAAAATATGTGGTCCTGCCAAATACAGTTGCGCATTGGAAGCTATACGTAACTATACATTTGAATTTCATTTTTTTTAGGCCTCAGATGTGCAAGTAATAAGTATATTATGTTACACATTGGTACAATATGACTGGGAAATCCATAATTTGTTTAATTTTTATTTAAAAAAAATTTAATTTCTAACTTTTCTGATCGTCATCGTTTAACGTAATACTAACTATGAAATTACTTTGAATTGATACTCAAAAGTTTGCAACACTTTTATTCTTATAATTTTTTTCAAAACGTGTAGTTATTGTTTGAAAAGAATAAAAACAAACTTGAAATGTATAAAAATATTACCAAAATATACATTACACCGCCCCACTTAAAGTCAAAGTATAACTACTATATTTAAGTTCCTCTCCATATTTAGTTCTTTAAACATGCTGTTAAAATTAACAATTTCATGAATTGGTTAATTTAACATCTGTGGTATAACATAATATACAAATAATATATTTATAATATAATCTAAACTATTATTTTATGATTAATTTATATCATTTTTTTGTTGTCTCTCGATCTACTTATAGTTTATAAATATATAAAATATAATATGTTATGTAGTATACTCATAGACATGGGCGCCCATTGGGGGGAGGCAAGACGGGGCACTTGTCCCCCCCCCCCTTGAAAAAAATATTATGAACTTGTAGCTCAATAAATAACTTTAGTTCTGATACGATTACGTTGATCTTGGTGCATTTGCCAATATAGTTTAGGCAGGAAGTTTAGGTTGCTAGTTGCTACACCATTTCCTTTTCTGTTTTTTGAAAGATTGACGAGCAATAACTTAATTTGATCAATACGAGGTATCGCGCTAATGCATACACAATTGGCAATGGTTAATACTTGTTAGTTAATTTATAATTTAAAGTAATACTGCTGTAAGAAATACAATATTGCAGGATCGTTATACGTTGTATTTAAATTATGTTATAATTTAAATGCAATGAGTAGTCGTGCTTTCAGTTATGATTAGACAAGTTATTCGTTATTAAAAATAAACTTTGTACGTCTTAGTTATAAATTTTATTTGAAGTAAATTATGTACGTAAATATGATATTATAGATTCAACAAAGCTTCCAAAAAATTTAAAGGTGTGTAATTGTTTGCCAACGTGTTCCATGATCGAATATGAAATTACAGATACATCAAATGTAGACGATTGGAAATACATGAAATCAATAAATTTGGTACAAAATAAGTACGTTTTTATTCATGAATAGTTTAGTTTTTTTTATATACTGTCCTATACCTATTTTCCATTAGTATACTTCCACTCCACTATAAACATTTATAATTAAATACGCAAGCTAGAATTAAAATAGTTCTATTGCCGTGCATCATCTTGGGTGATGTTGTGGTATCAGCACAGTTGCTTCACTGGCCTCTGTTGCATTAGGAACTTACACAGCTATTCTTATGCATTATGAAACATAACATAAACTTTAATATGCACCATTACTTAGCTATATTATGAAATACTTGTCTACGCTCATAGAACAGTATACCAATATTTTTTTGTAAATTTTGTAAATCACGCACATATAAATACGAATATAACAAGTTCTTATATGAACGGATAATTAATTAGTAAGAAAAAATTGTTTACAGTTCTAGAGGTGCTACGATTGAGTTGGTTTTCAAAAAACCTTACTATACAGCAAACACATCCGCATCAATCTTAAACCTGGAATCTCTAATTAGTAAGTGGTTAGTTCTAACTTATAAGCTATGATGTTCGATTTTTTTTCAGATAAATGACAACCAAACTCATAATCATTTATTATACTGTAAAAATTCGTACATTTACGATGATCACTTACATGCGTGATTACAATCTACTATATAGCTTCCTATACATAATAAGTGCAGTAAACTTTCTACCTACGTGATAATAATATACCAAATTAAAGCCATGTATAGGTATTGAATCAAAGATGAAAAGGATGAAAAGGATGTATTATTAAGTATCTATATGTAACATAATACATTTGTCATTTGTTGAAAAATTGCCATTATAGAATAGTACTTGGATAGCTATTTTATAATTTTTCAAAGTTCAACATTGAGTTTTGACAACTACGGCTATTTTTAGTTGCTTAGTCTAGGTGAATTTCATACAATCGTTATACACGACCGTCTCATTTTTAAGTAGTACCTACTTAAGTATTTATTTTTATTTTACAAGGTTTAACTTTGACTACAGTGTCACACTATAGCCATTAGTTAGAAATTGGTAAAAAGGTCTGTACAATATAATTTCTGATTGTTATAACTTATAATATATTTTTTTACATTCAGTTCATTTGGATTAGATTTTTTTTTAATATTTTATTAAATCTAGATTTTACTGAATATTATGTCTAAGTGTAAAAAGTTTGGATTGTGTTAGTAGTAGACATTTTGGTTTATTGTGGTATAATGTGTTTAGGTGATTATAAACTACCAAAATCATTCAAACAAAGTGATATTAATAAATCAACTAAAATTATGTTAAGTTGAACAAAGTTGAATCGATTTTTAATGAATAATAATTATTATTTATCATATTGTAAGCATATTGAAGAATCCAATTTTATTTTATAACGCACTGTAATATTGTGTATGTTCTATGTATCCATATTTTAATAATATATGTTTCTATATAACTACTTATTAAACATTTCAGAATTGTACGTTTTATGATATCAAAATAAATAATCTAATATTTTTGTTTTGTTTCAGGTAACGTTGGAGGATTATTAGGTTTGATTTTGGGCATGAATTTAATTAATATTTTTGAAATATTATTTATCTTGATTAAAATGATCAATTATTATATTATTACTTTGTTTCTCACAAAATGAAATATACTTAATAAGGTGTTCATTATTCGTACACAATTATTAATAACAATAGTGTGAGAATAGTTTTATACTATGAGATATCGTCTATTAAATGTTCAAGCTTAAACCATTAACACAATTTTATCAACATAATGTATCAATCATATTGATTTATATCAAGTATTTAGAAAAGTAAAAATATTTGTATGACTTATATATGCCTGACAGGATGTTTAAATTAATATTTGTAATTTATTGTTTATTTATATTTAGTGAATAATATGCCATTCATTATAAATACTAGTATGATTATGATTAATTATAACACTAAATTAAATTAAATGATTATACATTGATTATTGCTGAAAAATGTTTTTCTTTAAATTATTATTATTATTTTTTTTTTATTGATCTTAAGCTTCGGCAACTGAGGCCATTAGCTGTAGTAGGATTTGTATTGTAGGTTTGTATATTGTATATTTTGGGACGGTAGGGGGGAACACGTGTGTGTTTGTTTTTGGCAGAATTTCGAATGGGGCACCCGTAGGTTTCTGCCATGCCCCGGGGGTGGGGGATGGCAGCACTTGTTCTCCGGTCACCGCGACTTGTCCGGAGAAAAATTAAATTATTTTATTGTTAGTATTATAATATATTGTCACTAAATGGGTGCAACATATACAATATACATAAGGTAACAATGCAGCATATATATAGTAAATAAATATCAAGGCAGTATAGATACATGATTGTATCAACATCACAATAAATTCGTTTGTAAAACCAAAATAATTCATAAATGTTATAAATACCAATCAAAAATAAATTACCATAAGATTGTATAAATGTTTTACAAGGATGCAAACTCATAATTCAACTATTGTCGTTCACAAAACTTTGCTCGAATATTTTTGATGTATAAACGATTTTAGAAAGTCAGAGGACATATTTTTAAAATATATAACTGTATTGATTCAGGTTAGACAATTTTAAAAAAAATTGAGTGCCAATATGCACACATTAAAACTAAAAATTGTTTATTAGATAACTATGTTACCATAACATAAAAACCTATCATTATTCGTTATAATAATATAATTATAACATGAGCATTGGTACATAATATTACCTACTGGCTAGTGGCTAGTATGGTACCTGTGTACCTGTTTTGCCTATATAATACGCCGTTTTACATTTTATAACATATTATTTTAATGGTATGACAGCATCCATACGCTTAAATTATCACATTGCCACACAACAGCAACTGACAAGCGTTTATACGTACATTTAAAATATTTACAGTATAGTATACTGTAGTCAATTAATAATTATTTTGTATAATATTAGGTAAGTATACAACAATTAACTATAGTTTATTTATACAAATCTTATTAAACCTAGATATTTTCTAGATCGTTTTGAATTCTTATATTTCTTGTTATGATTTCAATAACATTTGGAGGCCTAAGAGTTATGTTAAATATTTGGATCAACAAGCCAACTGTAATGTTCATTGAAAATACAAAATCACCAATTCGAAAAATAAATTTTCCACCGAGTTTAATTCGAAATTCTATTTGTAAGAAATATATTGACATAAACAGCTCACATTAATAAGTTCTATTTAAATAAATATTTACTTATAAACACTAACTAAACTTTAATAAAACTCTGCACATTTCATAGAAAATTGCAAATTATTTGAAGGACATTGACTTTTATGCTTTAAACACTATACAACTATTCAATAAAAATTTTATAATGTAATATTAGATATATTTTAAGTTTTTTTAAATAACATAATATTTTCCTATCATTATTTAAACTATTTCCGTATAATAAAAGAATGATAATTATAATTAATATATTTTATTCTTGTTTGCTTATTTAAACTGAAATTTAAAATAATATTTTTACTTTCGTATTTCTTAATACACTTGAAATTGTACATATTAATCCAATTATATTTATAAGTATTTTGTATTATTATTTATTTAGGCATTAAGAAATATTTTACACAGTCTCGTGGATTCATGAGATTCATTAATTATTTTATTAAAGCCCAGTGCTTTGTTCAAGAATAGATTATTCCATTCCCTATCCAGTCATCACTATAATTTATGTGTCAGATTTAATTTGTATTCAATTTTTTGTCATGGCTCAACGTCACAATAGAAATTAAAATGATAATAGTAATTTAAATTGAATTTTTTATAAACTTCAACACGTTTTACATATTTTCTTTGTCTACTGTAGTATCGCTTAAATTCACCGATAAAGAAAAAATATACGAACCATAAACACAAGTGGTCTGACAGGCTTATTACGTGTGTAATTCGTAATACACAAAATAATATTGAAGAAAACTGCGATTTATGGTAGGTACATACTGCGCTACTATTAAAAGACTACTTCGTGCAAAAATTATTTCACCATTATTTTGTCTTTATTCTCTACCGTGGACTGGCAAAATACTATAGATATTAAATAAATTACAACAAAAAATAAAATATAAAAATGCATTAATAAATAATAGGTAATAACCCATTTTGTGTTTCAGGGATAATCTTAGAATATTATGTAGAGATGCAATGACTTACTCTACAAATACGTATTTTCATAGTTTCGAACAAAGTTTAAAAGAATTTATTGACTAAGATCTGATAAAAAAATCTTTTGTATGTAAGTTAAGTTTTTATTTATTTTATAAATGTCAAATTATTCTTCCTCGCAAACCATTACACAACCACTAAACTTTTTCAAACCCATGTCGACCTTGTTTCGTCTGACTTCACCAATACAAAACCAGTGATTGAGAAATCGTCCCAACTTAACAAAAAATCAAAACTTAATACTGAAATACATTCATCGCTCAGCTCAGAATCTAAAACCATATTATTTACATACATATATTTTTAGGTATATACTATCAAAATATTAATATTCAAATATGGTCATGATGACCAGATTATCGTTGGCTGATATATTTTGTTTATGATTTGATGTGGTATTTTTTACCCAGCATAGATTTACCTTGAATTCTAAAATTTAACAAGCAACACTAACACTTAGTTATATTCATTTTCAATTTTGAGTTAAAGATTGTTTAATTAAGTGTTAGGTTAGGTTAGTTAAGTGGCAGAATACAACGTTGAAGAATGATAGGCAATATATTCAACCAGCAGTACCTAACACACTTGGTTTATGTGTTACAATTAACATGATGCCATTAAATCTAATGTTTAACGATGAACATTTTCAAAGGTAAAGTTAACAAAATTAGTATGTACATATAGATATAACTTATATAGTTTTCAATGTAACATAACTTCGTAAATTATGCATACAAATTTACCTACCAACAGCCACTGAATGATAAGTTTTTCTGTAATATATTATCATGTTATACCCACATATTATTATTGTTTAAAACGTATCCTTACAAAGGCACAATAACATAATTTAATATCTGAACAATTTGTCATTTCAGATGTTTCTATTTTTTATCGACAAAAAATTACCTATGTTTATGCCTACTGAAAGTTGTATTGTTATTTATAAGATGGATACTCATTTACAATTTTATCCGAACCGACCACATCTCATAGATGTGGTACCCGCTCTAACAAGTGGTATTACAGTTATGACTATTGGATAAAATTAATGTTAAAATTTTTTGGAAAACGATTTTTTGAGTTGTGCTGAACTTTGGAATTGGCGATATTAGTTTTTTGGTGCTTTACGTAGTACTTACTTCCAAGTATTAATTCAATTTAAAAAATGATGAATTAAAAAAGATCATACACAATTGAGATCATATTGAATGCAAAAGTAATTTATAAATAAATTTATATAATATTAGTAGACTTTTCTTATTTTCTGGTATCACAACTACCAATGTTTTAAGTTGTTCAGCTCTTCATGACCAGAGTCGATTCAGTCAATTATCAAACTTTGATGGCTACCTTGTCCTATAGTCTTATTGTTGAGAGGAAGAGATTAATAAAGTAATCCAAACAATGTTAAGTTAAATTAATAAAAAGATTTTTAATACATTAAATAATATACCCTATAATAATAATATAAAATGCACTCAAACACGTGTATCGGCAACGGTTCGCATATCTCGACTCGCATAGGAAACTATATTATAATAATACGATAACTAACATTTGTAACTGCCACATGCACACAATAATATATATGTCACCTCTGCATTTTCGCTTTCCTACTAAATATATAACTATATAGCTAATCTACAGGATGATAACTAAATTATAATTTAATATTTCAACATTTATATTATTACGTCATCAGGTATTAACTTCAGTTAGGAAACTTTTTAGTATGTACCGGTGTCGCACATAATATTTGATCCACTAGAGTAGCTTCAAGAGAAAAGTTACACACTGACGACCATCCTGGTGGTGCTTAGTTATATTATGCTTAGTTTAGAGGGACAATATCAGGCTGCTCCAATATTTCCTTTTCAGTTGTTTGGAATGATGAACGCGAAATAACTTAATTAAATTACTATGAGGTAACGCAATCACGGTTTACAATGGTTTCTAGCTCCTGTTAACTTCAATGCAATGAGTTTTAATGCATTCAGTCATTATGGGTTTTATAATTTTTTTAAATAAATTTTGTAATGATATTTATTTGAAGAAAAAAATTATGCTCATAAATATGATATTAATATATTATAAATTTAATAAAGATCGCGAAAAATCTAAAGTGAAGCAATTGTTTGTTTGCCAACGTTTTCCGTGATCAAATATGAAATAATAGGTAGGTACAGCACATTTTGAGAGTTTGAATTAAATGAAAACAAAAAATTTGGTACACAATAAGTACGTTTTTATTCATAAATAGTTTTATTTTGTACAATATACTATTCTGTACATTATTTTCCATTGGTATACTTCTGCTCTGAAACAAATGTAAACAATAAATGTACATAAAAACCTTTATTTAATCAAACACACATACCTGCAACACTAAAACACGGCAGAACAGTCACGTGTTCACCATTACGGCCGCGTTTTATTATGGTGTAATACAATGGTGTTATTGTGGTTTCAGCACAATCGCTTCACTGGCCTGTGCTACATCAATAATTTACTCATCTATTTTTATATATTATGAAATATCTGACCTATTTATATAAATGCATAAATATTTTTGTATGTACAAGACCTACATATTGTAGGCACGATTATAACTACAAGTAGAACATGTTTTTTAAGCTACCGGCGTAAGATAGTTAATTAATAAGTATAATTATTAATAAATGTTTTAATGTGCAGTGTGAAATGAGTTTACCGTACTTGAGAATTTGTAAGCGTCGAATATTCACTCAATCCTATATCTAACCAATGATTTGATTAAAATGTTTTCCTACCTACCTAAAGTAAAATTATTGTAATAATAATAATAATAATATGATATTATGTTTGCGTAATTGGCATTTAATGAAATTATTATTTTTTTGTCTTTGATCTGTAATTAAATTGAAAGTTATCATGTAACTATAAAATATTATCGTTGTACTTAATATAATATACTATTAAAACATAAATATATTGTGTTTGTTATTATGTTTTTTTCGATATTAAATGTACCTAAAAATTTGTATTTACTGCAACACGCCTCCCTCATTATTTTCGATTGGTCCGAGTTGTTGGCTTATATAATTAAAATTGTCCATACTATAATAATTGCATATCCTATAAACTTATTATGACTAACACAATGTTCAAACTAACACAATCTACTACTATATAGCAATGCAACTATGCCCAGATTTATTAGATCTATCTGAAATTTCATTAAAATAGTACGTTATACATTATCAACTAGGCGCGAGGCCAAAAATTTTTTTAAGTGGGCTGTTTTAAATTGTTATTCAAATATATCTTGTGGTCTTACAATATACTTTCCACTGTAGTCATCAATCTTCATATTATTAATAATATTAAATATGAAATAAAACTTAAAGAACCATACAGAATATATTGTCATATTTTGTAGAAATCTCAAGTATATATAGGTAGTAGTAAGTATACTTTTTAGTTTTTGCATAAATATGCGTGGCCAATGGGGGTGTTTCAAGTGTTTCAACACCCAAAGTACCACCTTGGCTTCGCAACTAAACTGAGTATCCCACTTCTTGAGGGTTGCCAGTGGTATTGAAGTCTGAAGATCACTGGAGTAGCAGGGTCGAACAATTCAATTTATTAATATAGTGCCGAGAATTGTATTATGCATTGTCTATGAGGTAGGTATTATGTATAATTCTCAATACATACCCTCCTATGGTCTATGTAAATAATCTCAATACGTTTGTATCTATTGTCAATGTTATAGTGTTCTATTAACCTAAGAAAAGCAAGGAGTTGGTAATCTGTAAACCGTTAATATACTTGGTTATAATTTATAATCAATATATTATTATGTCCACAATATTTGTAATAGCAAATATTCATTCTACTAATGCATTTATTATTTTAATTTAATTTCATTGTATTATGAGTACACGCCATTTGAGTACAATTAACGAGTAAAAATAACAAGTATAGGTAGGTACATTTGAATCAAAAAATATTATCTAGAAACAAAGGTAAAAATAAAAATAAAAGTTTAGTGAATATTTTATAATATGAAGGTTGAACAAGTAAGTATTTTACAGAAATATAAACTTTTTATAAAATATTTTAATACCTTAAGCAATGTTTATTGGACTCAAAAAAGAAAAAAGTTTAGTTCATAAATTATAATTCAAGCAACAGCATGGTAACGGTACGTTTATTGGTTATCGATACCAGGTATCTATATATAAGCGAAAATTGAATATTATTTTTGGAATATTTCTTAAATTACTTCCGCCATAAGTTTATATTTAATGCCATTAGTCATAACGACTTAATTTTATCAACATGAATTGTTTTAATATATTAAATATAATCTAAATTAAACAAAAATAAAGTAGCTTAATATTTTCATTTAAATAATAAATTGATTTTTATCTTACAATTAATGGTAACTAAATACTATAATAATATAATAAAAAAAGTAATAATAAAAAAGTATTAAGTTATTATAAGCAGATGTCAGTGCAATGATTGTTTTCTTTCTTTTTCTTTTAAACTGATTTTAAGCCTTGGTAACTATGGGCATTATAATTTTGTGGTAAGATTACACCGTTTGTATCATAGGCATAACTAGGTTGGAGGGCTAATTCCCACTTACTTTTATCTTAGCCCCTCCCCCTGTCATAATTCCTATACTTCACCAACGGTGCTACAATTAAAAATTCTCATAATTGGCTTTTAAATATTGATACAATTCTGTATGAGGTGCCTTTGATAATATTATTACATTTAAGTCTGACAATTCACTATGATATTAAAACTTAATAACACAGGAATGGTTCTGCTGAACGTAAATTTTATTATATTAACATAATATATATATATCAATAAAAAAATATTTTTTAAAGCCTATTAAATAGCTTAAAAAAGATAAAATATTTAGAAAATTAGATTACGATTAAACAAACATATTTTATCGCAATGCAATAATGTCATCGATGTTCAACAATTCTACATTTTTCAATTTGATTCACAATCTACATTTGTAGCTAACATTGTACAACTATTATCTATTAGAGCATATTAATTCTCTAGAGAGATCATGGGAACACATTGTTTTTTATTTAAATTATTTATAATCATACAGTGGCGCACCGCAATTACCACGATAATCTAAAAAATGTAATGATCATTTTAAAATATCAAATATGTACAACAATAATTGACACTCCGGGGAAATAACAGAATCAGGTAATCGATAGGCAGTGGAGTGAATATAATATAGTGTCCTATAAGGTCCTCCTACAGTTTTACATATATTTCACATACATATTGTTTAACACCTGTTATATCAAATGTGACCTAATAATTTAGAAATCTTAAAATGACTGAACATGTCTCGTTTCGTGAGTATTGTGAAAAAACCACTTTACCGGGTATGAAATATTTTGTGATGAATCATAGATCACCAATGGAAAGGTTAATTGAGTTAATTTAATTTTTTATTAAATACATTTTTGATTTTATAGTTAATAGTGAATCTACAACTACTTATTTGAGCGTAAACAATTTTAAAAGGCTAGCGGGAGAGTTAAATTAATGGAAATCGAAATATGAACAATCACAATTAGTTTCTTTCGTTTCAAAATGTAAACTTTTGAGTTCATGTCTTATACTTATCCGTATTCAACATATTTTTTTTAAATTTTCTTTGACCCGAAATGTAAATTTGTATCAAATTTTTTTTATATACTTGGTTATAGTTAGCAGTCGAGTCTATTAAAAAACGTTTTTCTCGCACTACTAATTATATTTCCACAACAATTAATAGATGTTTTCGAAATGTACAAACAGACAGTCAGAGAAATCATTAAACAAAACATGGAATATTCTAGTAGACTATATGATTCAATAAATTATGGTCATCTGTTTTCACTTGATGGATTCTACCAATTAGAATAAATCGGTATATTGAGAATAGCCAATAGGATAATACTGAATTCTGATATTATTTACGTGTGATATAGACAGAGACAGATAATCACCACATCCTCAAGTTTGGTACATTAAACCACTGTTTGTTCATAAATGTTCTGCTCGTAGTGCATTATGTTGCAATAACCATAATAAGATATCATTTGATTTACTTTTATATTTTGTTAATAGAACATTTCATTTACTACTATTCGAATGCCTAGACAGTTCAAAATGAATTATATTTTGCAGAATCTTTTGGGTGCTGATTTTTGTTTGTATGATACTGGCAACAATTTCTGGGTTAAGTGCTTTGATAGACGTTTGGATAAATTATCCAACAATAATGTTCATCGAAAACACGAAATCTGCAATTCAAGAAATACCTTTTCCAACGATCACAATTTGTCCATCGAGCCAAATGCGGAAATGGGTTTGGGAAAAATACTTGGACACGAACACTTCCTATTGGTAAGTTTGATCTGAATTAATTAAATTCTTATTCTCCCTGCAAAGTTTAATGAATACAGAGGAAAAATAAACAATAGTCACACAAATGACTGATATACATTCAACACTAGATACATTGTGTTGTCCGACATCAACATTATATTGTTATAACATTATTATTGTATTGACTTTTTAGTTTTGTCATAAATATACAAACCAAAAAAGCTGCTGGCAAAAAGTAGCTATTTTGTAATATATCTTATACGCTTGAGCATTAACATTTTAATTCAATGTAGATCTTATATCTTTATAAATATTTTATAAATAAATATCATTTTCATTTATATAAATCACCATAAAATATGTACTGTATAGCATCAAGCAATTAAATCATAAACAAGTTATAAGCAATATTTGTTTTTATTAATTGTTACCAAATTACATAAGACAAGAATAATTCAATAAAACAAGTTAAATATTTATGTATTATTCAATAATTAGTAGGATCCATTCGATTTTAGATTGTGTAAATATATATAAAACATAATACAGACTATAATATGCTATTTTAGGTATCTAATACAAATGCATATTTTATTTAGGGAAAACCTTCAACAATATCGGTCTTTAACATGTTCTTCGTATGTTTATGCTCCTGGATTGAAAGGCCGTGCCGAGGATTATTTGGACAACGATTGGTTTATACAAATTATGAATGTGAGTTTAGTTTCAAATTGTTTCGCATAGAACTAATTAAAATGCATCTTATACTCTTATATACTAGTTGATCCATTTAAGTGTCTGCAATCATTACTTTAAAAAGTTTCGACTTTTGAGAAATATATTATTTTCAGAAATCATGTTTTAAAATGACATCAAATTAGGCAATGAAAATATTTTTAAATAAATTGGAACTTTTTGAAATAATGAGTAGATATAGGCACTCAAATGGATCACTGTGTACACGTTCGATCAAAATTAAATTAATGTGCAATCTCAACATTAAGTTTCAGTGTATAAATTAGCTCCAAGATTTTTTTTTAATTTCAATAATAGGATTGCGCGATTAGCTGTTCAGAATTGTTTCAATCGGAGTTTAAATGGCAAAATACAACGTTAAGCAATTTTTGTCAATTTGTCCAGCCAATTTTAGGAGTATTTGGATTATGTTATGCAATTAACATGATGCCTATGCATCAAATATTAAACGATGAAAATTATCAGAGGTAAATATACTAAAATGATGTATTATTTCACCTAGGTATTGGTATTTCATTTTTTTTTAAAATTAGTACGATTAAATTTTAAATGTATTTAATAATTTGCATTAAGAAATTAAAATTATTTTTTCCACCATAAACACTTGCAATGCTAATTACCAGATGGATTCCACTGATTTTAAGATTTAAAGGACTATTCTTAAGTCTAAACTGTAATGTGTGATTATAATTCTTTTTACGTCATGCTGATCAGGTTACAATTTGCAGCAGGTACATAATATTGATAGGTTATAAATTATAAACCTAACATTTAGTTTTTTATTAAATTAGTTTATCCTGTCCATCTTTTTTGCCTTGAAGTATATGATGAGGTCGTCTAGTTGTTGCATCAGATTTAATGTCTTTATAGTTCATATTATAGGTTTATACTTTGTGAGTACAGACTGCAGATATTATGTTGCATTACATCATTGCGTCTATAGGTGTAAACTAGGGGGGAAAGGTTATCTCCCAAAAACAGACAGCTTTGTAGTTGTGTAAGATCAGAGCCCTCCCCCCGCTCACATTGATATTAAAAATGTTAGCCCCTTCTTGAAATTTTAATAGATCAATTTATTATTTAATAACGTCAAAAATACTTGTTATGGCTGAAGGTAGTTTGACGTATGTGAAGATGTGACAGTTAATACTAATTTACTCTGCATGAAATACAATAAATAATTCGGGTCTGTATTTCTCATTAAATGGTGTGGGTTTGACGAATATGGCTAATTCTTGATCTGTTAGTTATCATTTTCTGACCAGAGGTTTTACCAAGTATAGAATCAACATAGTTTTTTTTAATGTATTTAGTAAAAATGTTGTTTGATTAATATTTGAAATTCGTCTGATGATATCGCTGCATTTTTTGTAAACTATTCGGCTTCTTCATTTCAATGTTTATTACAGAGTCTCACTATGTAAGCAAAATAAACATTTTCGTTTAAATACTATAGTTTTTTTACTCTATTTAGAGGTTTTTATGAGATGAAAATTATCTTTAATCCAATTAAGAGTATTTTTCGACCGAGCAATTTTTCATATGATGGTTATGGCTCCAACGTTGTATCACGACTTAATCCATTTGATCGAATTTCAAATTGATAACTCTCGTAAAATAGGTATTAACGTTATTAATATTATAATTGCATTGCCAATGCCATACACATTTTGAGAATCTGTGAACAGTCTCTTCCAAGAACGCCAATTTTCGTTTCACGGAATAAGTTATAAACGAATTCTGGGAGTTGTATAAAATGCTTATATTATAAATAAATATTGAATTCAAGTGCAGTTCATCAGTTGTATACTTTTTCTGTACCGATGCTTAGATAGGTATTAAATATTGTGTCCGTTGATTGGTTTTCAGAGAATGCCGTGTTAATATCAATTTGTAGGTAAACAAAACTGTTTGTATAACAGATTCGTTGTTTTTAACACTTTTTTGAAAGTAATTATTCAATGCGCCATTATATTATAGCCGTATTGACTATTTTTTAGAGTAGTTTGCACATATTGATCAATAATAAAATAGGATTTGATCGGTCAACTTGAAACTTATTTTTATTTCGTTGGTGTGTCGTAATTATTGTGCTAGTTTCACATTTTTGAAATATTATATAATTGTGTTTATTCCTTATGAATATTTTGTAATATTATACTGAACAAGTTTGGATATCTCATTGATAGTTTATTACCAACGAAATAATATATTTTTTCTATAACCTTTATCGTGGCAAAATTATTTGACCTCGGTATGATCAATTTAATGAGATAGTTTAGGTAGGTACCCAACCATTGTAAGAAGTCGATTCTTTCTTATTTTTATACCAGTTAACAAAAGAGACACTATATTTGGCTAGTTATTAAGATATATCCTTTATAAGGAGCTATTTATTTAGAAATTAATTTTAATTTAATTGACTACTGAGTACAAGTTTATATTATGAAATAGTAATACTACGGTCTTTTTACAATACATTTTTTAACGATACAAAATCAATTATTATAAAACTAGGTACATTATTTCAGATACTTAAAATTTTTTTCAACAAATAACACGTACTCTAATACTAAAAGGTCAAAATGGACTTCCGACGACGGTTACTCATTATTTTCAGACCAAAATGTTCTTTTCGATGTAATTCCAGCTCGATCAAGTGGCGTTAGTTACTATCATCGCCTAAGATTGAAATTACACACGACAGAGAATGCATTTTCGACCTGTCCCAATAATCATTACAACGAAGATTTTTTTCTGGTATGTTCTGTATTTCATGTCCAAGTATACTCTGTTACTGTTATCAATTTAATTACTTACATATTAGTTATTGCATATAAAAATACCTGTGAGGAAATAAGTTAAAACGCATTATTGTTTTTCTTAGGTTTTAATATCTAGTCCTGGCGAATTATACACGTACAAAACTAGAACATTTGTAGCATCAGACACATACAAAAAAATACAAATCACACCGTTCGTAAAAAAAATGAATTCGGGCTTGATGTGGCGTTCTCTGAAAATTAGAAAATGTTATTTACACAACGAGAGAAAACTATCCAGATTTCAACTCTACACGGAGTTCAATTGTAATGAAGAATGTAAAATAAACATAACTATTTCAATGTGTGGCTGTGTTGCTTACAACTCAGCCTGTGAGTATTTTTATGTAGCTTAAAATGTTCAAGTAGGCTAACGGATTTAAGTTGAAATTGATTTTGTATTACACCAGTTGCAGTGAATTCCAGCGTAAAAATATGTGGTCCGGCGAAAAAAATTTGTGCGCAAAAAGCTACACGTAATAAAAAATATTTGAAATATTAACTATCATAGTATCGTATGTATACCTATTTTGAAAATAAACCCAGGATGATATGACACAATTATTATTTAAATTACACTTAAAAATTACCTATAATTTTATTCTTACAAATATTTAAATAATATTTTTAAGCAATATTTAATTGGCCCATATATGTGTTGTCCGTTTAAAAATAAAAATGTATAGCCGTGTACTGATTTCGAAAAAGAACATTATACATACAATTTTTTTTTTTGTATACATTTGATAAAAACGCATAGTTAAACATACGGTTAGGTTAGGTTACTAGGCATATTTGGTCATATATCAAGTCTTATTTTAGTTTCTTTACTGCCCAATTTAATTATTTTCATATAATTTAATTCGATAATAAATTACAATATACAACAATGTTTATGTCATATACCGTGTATACTAACGTAAGTAAATGTATTAAAAGATTTTTTTTTCTTACCTACTAGGTTAAATGAGGTAAAATCATAGGTCTCAGCCAATCTCCTCTTTGTGTTTTATGTGTTAAATGTTTACCGGTTGTTCTGACGTTCTTATAATGACCATACAGATGTAGGTAATAACGTTTATTCATGATTAATTTAGAAAAATATTTTATTTATAACGAGCTCAGTTCATATTATTGACGGTTTATGACGATGCTAATTTTCAATATAAACAAACTTTGAAAAGTAGACACAAAAATGAATAATTTTTATTTAAAAAAACGTGTTTCAAACTAAAATAAAATTTTTTTTTGTTAATATGTGCCTACTAAAAAATATTAATAATATGTCATAAAAATATATATTACTTTTTCATAATATGCATAATTACAATAAACATTTTGTGATTAAAAATAATATAATACCTATGTATACAGTTTTCTTATAAATTTTAAATTCTGAATGAGGCGATGAATGTACTGATTTTACAATGATGTGTGTTTTTTATTTTTAAATCTATCACGGTTTGCTTCGATTTTCTCCAACAGCAATTTATTCAGTGATAAAATAAATGTGTATTTAATTATTTCATTCCACACCTTTATCAAAAAACTAAATTCTAGCTTGAAAGTCAAATTAAATTTTTATGAGCGTTTAAAATTGAAATTTTCACAACATTGAATATTCACTAAATTTCTCATGTAGAGATTTTCTTATTTTGTTTTAATTCAAAAATAAATAGCTACAGATACTTGAAATAGACACCATATATTTATTTTATCAATTCATATACTTGATAAAATTTCCAAAATATTTTGACTTGTTTTGAGCTGTTTAAGGACATTTAAAATTTTCATTTTTTTTAGTTATTTTTTCTATGAATGTTAATTTTATTGGTCGGGACAAAAACATTAAAATTTAACACAAAACTCTTGATATATTGTTACAATAGCAGATGGAAAATATCAAAAATACATAGGCAGGATTTTTTTGTATAAGCATTTAAAGTTTGAATTTTGACAACTTTAATCAAATTGAAAATAGAAAAATTATTTTGTAGTTAAAAATGTATTAAAATAAACATTCAACTTTTACAGCTAATCATTAAAATGTAAAACAAGGTTCTACGTAAGTAGCCAATTGTGTAACCGAAAAATCTAAAAATTAAAATCAATACAGGTTTTATTATAGTTATTGTAAGTTAAAATTTAGACGAAATTACACAAAAAATAACGATTTTAGTTGTAATTCGGTTTCGTTTCCCGGCTACCTTATTAACAATAAGTAATACAAAATATATAAAATATCCTATACACTGCCATACCGTCTCCACTCAGAATCGTTTTTCGTATTCAATGATATTATATCATTGAATTCGAATTGAATACCGTCCATTACGACTTTCTAGACACCTAATGTACAGCTGAGCGACATCCACTAACTCGCTTTTTTTAACGTTGCTTGTTATGCTTATGGTTATGACTATCGGACATTGGTTATTGTGATCTGAATTTTCCTGGTTCTTCGAACGTCATAAATCATAATACCCGATCTGTGCTCTATTTACATAACTTGCATTATATTACAATAATTTATAATAAATTATTTTTTAATTCCGTGAAAATTAAAATACTTTCAAAGTTTTAAATATCGTATTTTGTAATTGGATCAAAATATATGGTAAATTGCCTCTACAAAATATTTACTTTAATAAATTGTTTCAATTAAAAACTGAAGTGCTTATTTCTTTGAACAGTAGCTGTGTATCTCTCGAAGGTACAAACAAAGTGTAATTGTTTACCAACATGTTCTGTAGTTGAATACGATATAACAGATTCATCGCATTATGACAGTTGGGATTATATGAAAGCTACAAATTTAGTAAAAAATAAGTAAGTATGTTACTGTTATTATTTGTTGACAAATAATTTTGATATTTTATGAATAATATCGTTATAGTTTATAATAAATTGATATTATTATATAAAATATTTTTACGCTTAACGATATCTAACCTACGTTTGTTTTAGTTCTAAAGGAGCTACGATCGAATTGGTTTTTAGACATCCTTATTTCACTGCATATGAATCGGCATCAGTTGTAGACATAGATTCATTAATTAGTAAGTTATTTTGTGTAATATTTAATATTCAATATTTCAGTCGGAAATGTTCAGATCTATTACATACATCGAAATATTTTTAAACTCTATAATTTAAAATAATGTAATTTGGTATACTGTGTAACGACTTGATAAATCGAATATTACGAATGCTGTAGAAAAGGTAACTTCAACATATTCATTTCTAGTCAAAGTGGGCCAGATCTCGTTCGGTTTACCTTTTTCGAAACACAATTACGTATTTTTTTTTTTCGAATACAAAGAAAACCTTTAAATGATGTCAAATTAATAACTATTACATTTTAAAATTGTATCTACATTAATATTTTTTTGAATATTAATTATACTGATGGTACCTATACAATTAGCAGTTAAGCATATTGTGTAAACTTTCTTTACGGTTTGTTGTTCTAAAGATTTATTTTATTTTGTTAGTTGTAAAACGGTTTGCAACAAATTAACTAAGAAAATAAAATTAAAATAAAGTAAACTTTTTATGCAGCCAAGTGTAATGAAAACGATGATACTTCCTATATAGTTTCGGTATCTGTATTTTATACCCTTGTGAAAGCTGTAATCAATACTTCAAAGTTTTTTTTATAACACTATATATTGTTTATAATTACATAATTGTATTGTATTATTTAAGTATCTTAGTTGAGAATTATAAATTAAATATTGCTATTTACATTTTACATTTTACCGTAATAATACTAGTGCGTTAGTGTGAGTAGAGTTGTAAAAAGATACATAATACTCTTTTTTTTGTTTGTTACGAATTGTAAATATTTTTATAAAAACGTGGATTACGTTTTATTGTTTCAGGTAACACTGGAGGAATATTAGGCTTATTTTTGGGAATAAATTTAATTAATATTTTGGAAATATTGTATGTATTAATTAAAATTGTTATTAGTTACTTATATTGTAAATAATATGTTGAGTAAGTAATCAGCGCACTGACAGAAGTGATGAAGGATGTACAAATTGCTATCAATTATTTTAAAATTAAAGCATTTATATATGGTGTGAACTTTCTGAAACCAACAAAAATATATTACGCGATGCATTATAGTAGTAAAAAAAAGTCAGTCATCTTTTAATATAGACTATTAGACAATTATTATGAAACTTGTCATTGAATATAATATGTATTATTAATTATAATATATTTTGTATTGCTTATTAACAACCATACTATGGTGTAGTAATGGAGGGCAAAAGGAGGTGTACAGAGGATACTCACATTTCAAATTCATAATATTATTGATAAAATTAAGGTTAATACTCGGTTATATGGCCATATAGTTCCGTATATACGAAAAATTATGACTAAAAAGAATAGTATACTATACGTTGCTCATAAAATATGTAAATGGTATAATATTATCCAACATTCCTAAACATTATAGTACAAAATATGGCTCGTGTCTGATTCTCAAACTTATCGTTGATAATCGATCTATAAGCGAATATTCACAAAAATCAACAAATGAAAAAAAATGTCCATGAAAATGCGTAAATACGAATATTTATGTTTAATGAATCCATATATTTTATAAGTATTGTATTACTAAAATATGAATGTAGAATTTTTTTCAAAACTTCAATGGTTCAATAATTTATGTAGTTTTGTATATTAAAAACATTTATAACAATTATGTTTATTCCATCTCTTTTCATGTTAGTTAATGTCTTTTATTTTATTTTACAAGTTTTTAAGACCTAATCAAAAGCCGTATATATATTTGAGCCATTATTTATAAATAAAATATTATTATATCGCAGCTACAAAATTTTCCGACAATTTTAAAACGGGATATCGTAGTTTCGTTGTATTTTAATCATTGATGTAGGTACGTATTACGTAATGCACACTGATATAAATACTTCATACTTCTCGAAAAATCTCAAAGGACTATCGATCCATCATGTCACGGATATCGGCCTAGTTAAACCAATAATTATAATTTGCACTTTAGTCAAGGATATTATTGAAACTTTGTCAAAGGACTTACAATTATGCAAAATTTTACCAGACAATAAATTAGTAATTGTATATTTGACCATCTACTATAGTCACAAGCGTAATTTGCCATACACTACCTTTGGGATAACTATTACAATGCATAAACTAGGACTTAATTCAGAATGCAAATTGCGATGATATTACCAAAATGTCCAAATTTGTGTATGCAAATGGAGCTGGTCGGAATAAATATTTGTTAAGACAGCAAAAAACACAAAAACACTGTAAAGCTGTGGCTTGTAGATATTTAAGAATTAATAAATAACATAGGCACTAAATACTGAAAAAAAAGTCAATTTTTTAATGATTTCGAAGATCAACTAGAACTATAAAGTAATTCGTCATAATATATTTTGTTATCGCCAAACATATTATTGTAGGTGCTTATATCAATAGTTGTATTTACAAGAACATTGCATCAAGTAATTCTTATGCATATTTGAAGTATTTTAAATGTGGTTTACTCTAATTAAATAACATAACTTATTAGGGTAACGATATATTATTATTTTTTAACCATTAAATAAAATTCCATCTTCTAGGCGAACGGATTTTCGTGATATTTGGTGACACCAAAGTAACAAGAACGTGTATAACAGCGCAAACAGTGGTAAGCCGATGAATGTACCCACTCCTAAATACATTTATGTGATCAGACTGTAATATTACAGTGCTCCAGACGTTATAACAAATATTATCCAAACATAGCCTTCCAATTATTTAACTTGAAGATCAAAATACAACTTGTTGAGTTGCATTGAGTTCCTAGGGTTCAGTGGAACACAGTTTAAGGAACATTGGCATAGACAGACTCTGAAAGACCAAATCCTTACAATAAATAAGTCACTTTTATTTTTTTTAAACCTATCTGTAGAAAACTATGTTGCGAAAATTGTATCATTTAAAATTAAAACAAACTGCATTTAATACAATTGGAGTATATTTTACACGAATCATACAGCTGACTCACTTTTGAGGGTTTATTTTACATTATCAACGGTGTGCATTCATGGGTTGTAAATTTATACTTGAAACCATCGTTATTTTTTCTCAGTAGGTATCTTATAATAAATTTACTGACTAGTGACTAGTGACTACCAACTATACTGAATAAGATATTTAAAATGGAACTGACGGATAATTTTCACAATCGAAACCGCAACAAGTCTTGATTATTATTATTATTATTATTATTATTATTATTATTATTATAACCATCGGCATCAAAATATATTTATTATTTATAAATCTAAAAGTGTCAAAACCATCGAGATAATATTATACGATATAATATACCCTTATGTCACACATTGGTAACCTACCTGCTTGAATGGTGTATAGATTTCATATTATATTATTCCCATAGCTATTTACATTTTATCCCTTTGGACCAATATTTCAAAGACACATTTCTCGTTTATTATAGTTAATTCTTACACGAAAAATAATGGTAACTTATAGCCTTCAATTTAAGTACTTATATAATATTACATAATATATGTTAGTTATTATCATGGTTAATCCACATTTTTAAAAAAAAAAACAACACAATATTTTATTTATATTATTTATATTATATGATCGACTTATAGGGGTAGAGTTTTTTGCTTACCCTTTATATCATCCCTTGATCTACCATTGTGTTTATTAAGATTTGTATGCATATATTTATATTGAACTATATTATTTCGACTATATGTGTCTATAGCTAATGCCTATTCGTTAATTTGACTCTCATTCGTTGTTCGAACTTACAAAAAAACTATTTTTCATTGATAATGTTATATTCAATGCCCAGCATTTTATTATTTTAAATTTAAAAGTTATCAGAAACTGAACAGGAAATAAAATACTTTTTTAATGTTTTGCGCTCGCTAGCCTATACCTAACTGTTATTGATTTTCATAAAAAAGTTGTTGAGTTTCTAGTTGGTATCAAATCAACACGAATACTCAATATTAAATTTTAACAAAGTTGTGATGAAAACTTTTTATCATTAAACGAGTATATTTACTGTGAAAATAAAAATTTAAAAAAACACTGTTTACATTTTATAAGACCAAGATGCATCGGGTCGATATTTTGTCTATAGATTCATGCAACTAAGGATACTAATTTATTATTATTATCATTATTATTAGTCACTGTTTTCTGACAATATATTATATACCATAACTGTAAAGTTTTATCCTAAACAAATTTCAAACTTTAAGAGTAGAGTGCCATCGGTGACGTAGATACAGTTATTCTGCGCATATTAGGAGTGGATGAAAATACAATATTGAACTGGAAATTACAAATACAGTGTTTGATAAAATTATTAGTACCTACCTATTTAGGATATCAGTTCCATATTTAAATTTTACGGTACTGTGTACCTATGCATTAAGGCTGAGCAACTACACTGTCAACACAATTTATAGATAGGTACATTGTTTTATTTATTATACCATAATATTATATGATATTATATTACGCGGCATTATATAATATTATGATAGTTTCATCAAATAAATACTTAATGCGTTAGTACTATCTGCTTATCATTTTGAACAATTCATTAACAATCCACAACTTCTAAAAGTTGAAATGCATTGAACAATTTGCACTCAAACGACAATTGATGTTTCACTCGTGTTATCCACCTGTCGTTCTATGATTTCTCAATGTTTCTATATGGACATAAATATGTCTTTTGGTTGTAGGGTTCTATTTGAAATTCTTAAGACGCTTATTTTTCACTCACAATTAACTCGTAAATAAAAAATGATATTTAATTATAATCAAAATGATTTCCTTACGATTCCAACTCATCTTAAAAACACGGAGGGAGGTCGTGATTTTTGGTATAACATACACTCAACAGTAGTGGGATCAGTGGTGTATTGGGGGGTATACGGGGGTATACGGCGTATACCCAATACGCTATTTGTATCCATGGCGTATAGCTTATGACAAATTAATGATACGCGGGTATACGTCCGTATCTACCGTATATCCTATATGGCAATTTTAAATAATTTATAAATTATTGTAAAATACCTACATTTTGACGAGCGCGAATTGTAATATAGCCTATAGGCTATAGGACGTAAGTCGTAACAAAGATTTTATATTTTTATATTACGAACAATTTAAAAATCAAGGTTATCACTTATCGCATTCATAATCAAAATATTACCCCGCCTACGTGAATGTAAACGTTTTCTGAATACGGGTAAACAAGGATCTAACATCATGTTAGTTTATGGGCTCGTTTCCTGATAATTTTATACTCACACAGTGACAGACAGTCTATGACAATAATTGACTACAGATTGTCATGCACCATGTATGAAGTACCTTATAAGTTATATCTTATAGACTATTGTGTTATTGTTATACACTTAATATACTTGTTAGTATAACTTTTGTATTTTTGTTCAATTTAACATGGGTGAAAAAAGAAGCACTTTACATTCATATTTCAAAAAAAAAGTAAAATTAAATGAGGGTGAAGACAATATCATTATGTATGCAAGCACATCACAGTCATCAGTCAAAGTAATATAATAGTTTCTTTTTTTTTAGTATTCTTTTTATTTTAATTAGATGATAAATGTATTGATGATGAACATTTCTTTTAATTACAGTCTACAGAGTCCTGGGAAACAAAATCATCGAATGATTTATGTGAACATAGTACATTTGTAGAGGTAGGATTATATTCATTTTTATTATAAATTTAAAATGTTTAACAAAATAAAAATATAATTCATATTGGTATTTTAGATAATTCAATATAATATGTTATTAATAATAGTAAGTTATTATAATTAATGTATTATATCTTCAGTTTCAAAAAAATGAAAATAGGTAAAGTTAACAAAATATTAAAATTAAACTAATATAATATCTTCATTGTATGAAGATTTTGCTTTGTGCTTAAAAAGATCAAAACAATACATAAACATATAGATAAGATGTAACTATGATTTGATATTATACAGTTATAGTAATTAATTTCAATCAGCTTGGCATAATTATTGTGACTGCTATGCTGCTTTGCACACTATGTCACTATAAGTCTATAACTTGCACAAAGGTAAATAGTTATCAATATGTAAATATAATTTGTATAAGTAAACATATTTAATATTATTTAATCAGCATATTTGCTTATTTTGCTTTTTATATTGTTATAATTCTATTGTAAATAGCCTCTTGATACGTTTTTGATCCACTTTGTTGCTTATTTAGCAAAAGAAATCTAAAGATGCAAATGAAGCAACAATTATCACTGATCATAGCCAAGTTGAACCGGAAGTTTGGCCACCAGAATGGAGTGAGGGAAATTGGAGAGAAAAAATAGCAAAATATCCATGGCTGATATTTCATAATAGAAAACTTGGGTGCAAAGTTTGTAAGGAGTTTGCTGATTTTAACTCATTTAGAAGTTATAATATTGTTATTGCTAAAGAATGGATTTCTTCTCAAGTTGATGGAGGTGAAAACACAAAAAAAGAAACAAGGCTTGCTTTATTACGGAATAAAATTAAAAAACATAACTCCTCTGAAGCACACAAAACTGCCTTTAATGTTTCAATAGAAAAAAAATTCTGATAGACTTCCTAATCTTTTTGAGGAAACTTCATGTAAAATAGACAAAACAACGCATTCAATTTTTCGCACAGCTTATTATATTGCGAAAAACAATCGTCCCTTTGATGATCATTATAAACTTTTAGAACTCCAAAAAATCAATGGACTACAAATCGGTAATACACTACATTCAAGATTTTCCTGTACCAATATAATCGATAACATATCATAAAAAATGAAGCAAAAAATTATCTCTAATATAATAGAAACTGGAGCAAAATGAGCAGAATGTGAAAGAGGGTTGAGCTTAATGAACAACATATGTACTAAACTAAGAGCAAGGCTTACCATGAAGAATATTTCCAACTTAATGTTTATTAATATTAATGGTCCTCCATTAGAAAAATGGGACCCCAAAGACTATGTGAAATCGTGGATGGTTAGTCATAGATCTGCAGAAGACACTAGAACCAAATTATGTCGACCAGCTATTGTTGCAAATAGTGAAAACAAATCAAACCTTTGGAAAATACTTTAAACAAATTTAAACAAAAATAAAAAAGATAAATCTTATTATATTATTAATTGTTAAAATAATTTATTGTTTTTAATTTAGTATATTGTAACACATAAATAAAAGTTGTAGTTCGAGCGAAGCGAGAAAATTTTTTTTAGTTCCTACCTGGATTTCTTCATTATATATATCTACGTGAATAAGGCGTATACCCATGGTTTATTTTAGCAATACATCACTGAGTGGGATGCGTCACTTGTGTATATCCACGATATAAAAAGCTCTATTCTATAATGTCTATGATGTAATATGACATCACAATTCACAATACACCAATATTATTATTTTTTGTTACTTGGAAATTTACTAACAATAAGATTAAAAATAGATCATACTCATAATTCATAATTCAAATTTCAAAACATTGACACAGAATATGTAAAAATAACGGTGGTAAAAGCATAGTTAATTTAGAGGAGAATTCAAATCCGTTTTCAAAATTAAAATATTAACACCTACAGAGTGTGGTGGTTGATGTCATTGGCAGTATTTTTTGAAAAAAATGTTTGTAATTTTATAAAGAAATAGGTATTTGACGTGACGTGTATGCGCTAAGGTAAAACGAGCAATGGACAGACGAACTTATCCGCTCACTACAATGCCCCCATTTAACGTGATCAGTATTACACACACTAATATTCATTTACTTCCAACATATTATTATTGACATGACCCGTATATACTGCAACATAAAATGCATAGTTTTTACTCCTTAGAATGGATACGCTCCAGCCCCCTTAATAATTGCTCTGTAGTTTCGTCAATATTCATAAATCAATACCTTCTATATGAATTATTTTCAATGAAAAATATGGCTTGTTTCAATAAAACCCTTGTGGCAGTAGGTATGTAGACTGACTAGACTCTATTATAATACTGCAGCAACATTGAATCAATTTATAATGATACACAGCTTTGATGTCCAATTAAGTAATTATGTTCTATTAATAATGTTTTCTATTAAATTATGTTCACAAAAATAAATTTCATTTTACATACCAAATCGTGTCATGAAAAAGTTACCATCGGTTTAAGTAAAATACAGAAACTTATTCTACCCTCATTTAAGATTGCTTAAATTGTTTATACGAATAAACCTACATACTTTCGAAGATAAAATTATATTTTAGAACAACGAAGTCGGTTGAAAAATAATTGGAATATATTTATAGTTTTATTCGCATTATTGTTGAAAATTGATTCTTTGTTTATTCGTGTTATGTTACCAGTAAATTATTCGCAAATTACGAATGGCTTAATCACCTTGGTACTAAAGGTAAAAGAATGTCGGAATTACACCGTCGAAATAATATTAATTTTACATATTTCAGATTTTTCTATAATATTTCAGCGATCAATAAATAATCACAATATTAAAAAGTAATATATATTATAAAATACAACTCAAATATTAGTATTATTATAGTACATAGTATATTTGCTAGAAAAAAAGGGTGAAAGTATGTATTTTTTTTTTTGTTTTAGGTAAGCGGTATCTAATAATATGTAATAATCATATTATTATTTATAGAAATTGCGTTTCCAAGCTTGATATTAAATATTTAAAATAATAATTTTAAATACATGCTATGCAAAAATGCATGTAAGTATGTGTATTGCAAACTTATTACAGGAAAACACCCCTTGGGACGATTGTTTATAAAAATTAAATAATATTATAATGGAGTATTAAAATATATATATATATTTATATATTATATTCAATAATCCCAACGGAATTAATTTTAATGTTGCTATAAGACAGTTAAACGAACAATATTATGAAACTAAATTTATTAGATATTACTTATTAATATTAAACTAATGAAATATTTACTTATATTGCCATCAAATCAATTTTCCACGTACATAAATGTCATGACATAAACCATAAACATTGTTAAATATTTTATAGATAATAAAATATAGCAATTTAATTCGAAGTAAAAAATTGGTACACATAATATATCCATGAAATTAATTTTAATTATTTCTAATAATTATTGTATCATATTATAATTGTGGCATACAATATTTAATATTAGTCTTAATCATAATGTTATATTATGTACACAAGAACATAAAATATTTTTGATATTTTGTTCATTAAAATACACTGAATATTGTAAAACATATTTTTAAAACATTATACAAATACATATAATACAATTATTCGAACGTTTACAGAGTTTATGTCAACATATGCATTATGTTTTTACAGATCTGATATCACATGAGTAATTAGTATAAATTGAACTTTTATTTTACTAACAAGTAATGCAGAAAAATTTAAGTCTACAATTTAAAATGTTAGTACTTATAATTATTATATTTATTACTTAGGTATATATTGATAATTAAAATATAATTTTTATACTCAGAATGTCTCAGATACATATAAATGTGTCTTAAAAAAAATAAAATGAAATCTATTACGATAAGACGTGATTAATGTATTATAAAGAGTACTACTTTTTTTTTCGTACAAGACTATATAGATAATAATAATACAAATAATATAATATGATCGATTGTAGTTAGTTCGGTATAAGTATTAATGATTTTTCATTATTTTATTTATTCTAGATTATATTTGTTAATAATAACTGTTCGAAACACAGTCTTGAAGTAGAACTTATTTCAATTTTTTGAAATTACTGAAAGTAAATATAAAAGTCCTAAAAAAAATGTTTTATTTAGATAATGGGTGTTTTTTCATGAACCAAGTCTGTAGCAATTTATTTTTAATCTAAGGGAGCTTATTTTCGATACTGAATAATGATAGTAAGACATTTTCTTATAATATATTTTATACCAATCTAAGTTGAAATAACTAACAAAATGTATAATAATATATAGGTACTTATATTATTACACATATTAATAGTGTCTTTAATACAATTAATACTTATATATATTTATATTTCTTAAGATAATAATAAGTAAACATAAACTGATCTTATGGCATACCTATTATCTTTAATATTATATAATATATATGCCGGGTGATTCTAAATGTATGTCACAGAATTTTCATTATATAAATATTGTATGCATCATTTTTGAAAAATGAATTTTTTTCCATGCAATTTTAATTTTTTATTCTATAATGTAGAACATTACTTGGAATATGTCAATGCATACAAATCGAATTTCAGTTAATTAATTATAAGTAGTTATTTGAAGTTTAGATGAGCGGATTAGTGAATTAACATTTTTCCACTTAAGCACCTTTATTCCACTCGATTTTGCTCATCAAAACTTTAAATGACTACCATACATACAGTTCCACATTAATGAATGTTATTTTATCACAAAAACGTAAAAAAAAAGTTCCCATTTCGTTTTGATTTCCCTATGTCAATTTTTCCAAATCAAAAACTTTCATGTAATCAATTTTTCTCTACTCTTAGAAATCAGGGATGGTCAACTCAAAGTTACTAGAGGGCCAGTTTTTAGAAAATTAAAATCTAGCGGGTCAGAGCATAGAAAGGAAAAATATGGAGTCATTAAAAATATACATTTTAATTAGCATTTATTTTGTTCATAATGTAATTTGAAAATATAATTCGAAACAGGTAAAAAAGGCTCGAGAGCCGCCAGTTGCCCATCCCCGTTCTAATGATAAAATGGCCGTGACATTAATTTTAAATCACTCGGTATAGGAATATCAATATGTTTATGACTAGAGCTGGGATTTGTATGTAAATACATATTTTTCTAAAACATGATAAATTAATCGTTGCAAATTATAAATTCGTTTCACGTTATTTGCAATAAAATAAGATATATTTTATTTTACATGTTTTTATATATTTCGTCACAAATACATAGTTTTACATTATTTATTAAATGTCTGCTTTTTTTCATATTTCGTAAATGTTGAAAAAAAATCTAATACGTAAAATTATTTGTCAATTTCAGCATCGAAATTGGTGGTTAAGTAGTATTATACATTTATATTTCAATAATAGTACCTAGTACCTACTCTTAAAAATTGTAAGTGTATATGAGTATAAAGGCTTATATTTAAAATATTTTCAAATTTTTTTTATTACATTTTTTTTTATTTTTGATCACATATTTTGTAGGTATAAGTTAGTGTTAAAACCAAATCACTGTAGTTTTAATTTTGAAAATTTAAAACACTTCATGATTCTTCATTGTTTTACTTCGAACTAATTGAATTATTTAGAATTATATTTTTATTGCGTTTACATATTTTTGAATTTTTTTCATTGCATATTTTTTACTACATAATTTGGCCATTTTAGTTACATACGTATGTACATATTTTTGGTTTTTTGTTACATATAAATCCCAGCTCAATTTATGACATATGTTATGTTTATACTTATAAGTTAAAACTAATTTAAAATTATTGTTAAAATAGTACCTAATAGATTTGTACGTGTTACGTAGATGATGATCAATTGTCACTAATTGCATATGCCACCATAGGAAAATAAAAATAAGTGTTCTTCACATTTTTAAAAAAAAATGTATCGATACCTATAAATAATAATATTATTTATAATATTGATCGGGGCGATTAATGACCCCGTTAACGCTAGGAAGATATTGCACGGTTTCGAGAAAAATGTACACTGCGAAAAAAAGGAAGACCGAAAATCATATTGATTAAATTATGACTAATATGAAAACGATTACGAATCATTAGTCGTCGGCATAGGAGTGGTAGACGAGCCACCGACCGTTGACGAACCCCTGTACAGGAAACCGTTGTCGGTGGATGCGCCGATGCCGCTGTGTCCGTTGTAATGTAGAGGAGTGGACTCGGAGGGTCGGAAGCTTGATCCGGACTGCAACACGTCACCATCAGGTCTCCTCTGTAAGTAGTCCCGCTGCTGGTCATTCCATCCGTTGCTGGACTGTCCCCTAAAACGGGAACAAAACACACTGCGATAAGAATCACCGGCCGAAGACTTTTATAAAGTCAGTAAGTGTAGAAAAAAAAATAATAATAATTATATTCCAACGTGGAATCAATTGCTGCTATATTATCCAAATCGGTGGTTTCAAAATTAATTACAACTCGACATTCGGATATTGGCGCCTGTCGAACACAATGTCAGCTAACTTTTTTGTAGAATAGTTATTTTAAACTCGGTTTATACCCTATGTGTCGTGTATAGTGTTGTCTATATAGATAAAAATAATTTAAAGCGTCTACCTAAACATTTATCGATCAGCTTACATAAAATGGTCATAGGAGATAAACTAGGTAGAAGGTACTTGGAACTGGGAGGCAGTATTGTGAAACAGTTCCCACCCGTTTCGGATTTTTTGAACGGAAAAAAAAAGAAAAAAAAGGTAGAAACTTATCAATATATATTTTTCTGACGATATTTTCCATTAATTATTTTATAAGTACATTTATTTTGTCTTAAAAGATGAACAATATTCGAAGCTATCGCCTATCATCTATGTCCTTTTAGTTATTTAAGTTATTTTATAAGTTTAACTTTGTAGTTAATTGTTCAATCTCTGTAAATACCGATGGGTACCTACCTAAAAGTATTTGAAATACACTTATTTACGAGTGTAATAATTAAAAATGATTACATTATATTTTTAAGCAAAGCAAAAATGCTATCTTACAAATTCAAGTTTTTAATTTTTGTTTTGATTTATTTGGTAACATTTTATCTATTATTATATCTAGATAAAATATCAATAATTTGTCTGTTATAAAGTTATCTTAACTAAATTATTTTCGGTTGTCTTTATACAACACTGTATACCTATACGATATACCACTGATTATACAACGAAATAAAATGGGAAATATAATGAATGCAAAATAACATTTACATCGGTATAAGTTATAACTAGACAAATCACAAATGATGCAACGTGTCTGAAAAAGTTATGACAAAAGATTATACCAGTGTTTTATAATATGTACTATTTGATTACAATAATTAAAAACTGCTAGTTGTTTTTAAAAATGTTTAGAGTTTTGAATGAAAATTCAAATCATGACGACCATTGGACCAATTATACACATAACCTAAGCATAAAGAACCAATCCAGACATTTAGTAACTGCCGGAACCGATACTGTTCAGACACCACCCGTTATAATTATTAATTATAGTGACATCAGAATTATATCACGTGTTTGCATTTCGAACGTTTTGAAAAAAAAACGCATCCGAACAATGCTAAAACGATTCATAATAATCCCAAGGTTCTGGTTTCGAATTAATATATAGGTACCATCATGATTACACGAGTAATAACAATATTCCTGCCGTCGAGCATAAATTTAACGGTCCGCTGGACCTATGATGCACACGTGTTTTGAGTTGACCTTTCGGGTTGCCGACCGACGTCGGTTGGTTGTTCAACCTTTATTGTTTATGTTACGCGAAGAATCTCGTATTTGATAAAACAATAATGACAGTGGAAAAATGTATTATTATAGTTTTGAGAATACCAGAAACCTTGCGAAGTGTATACATATACCGGAATCGAGTCAAGGGGAAATAGTATATTTGAATAACACTCACGGTAATAATATTATTATACGTAGGTTATCGTTTCTGACATCTATTCGTATCTACCGTGTTTCGTATACGAGAATACCATAATAAACATAGAAAATCGCAAAAATATCAATAAAAAAAAAAAAAACAAACACATTCTGAGGTAATGCAATATTTGCAGCTTCGAATTACATCGGTTACTAATTCTAATTACGATACTCTAATCATGTCTCAGTACCAAATTTCTACACTCATCTGGTAGGCTAAATCTGCTGGATGGCCAACATAGCCTCAGAGTAGATAAATTAAGTACTTATTCAATATGCTTTGTTTTAACAATAAGGACATATTTAATTGTTGGAAAAAGAGGAGGCAATATGCTAATTTCATGGAAGTACCAAACATTGTTATATATTATACTATATAATCTTACCTCATGGAATTAGAATAGTCCCAATTCGACGCGTATCCTTTACCATATCCCGAACCCTGCTGTGAACCGTAGACTTCGTTTCCGTTCATAAATGGCCTTTCGTTGTCGTATCCCGGTCTGTTATTTATCTGAGGTCTACCACTTTCGTTATCTGAATAACCACTGAATTTATCGAACTCATGTTTTTGGGAGCCATAATCTGATACGACATTGTTCATGGATCCAGCGTAAGGTCTGAAGGATGCATAGTCTGATGTTTCAACTCTAATACCGGGTCTAGATGATCCATATCCATCTGGACGAGAAGATCCATAACTATCCGGACGAGAAGATCCATAATTATCTGGTCTTGGAGATCCATAACCTTCAGAGCTCTGAGTTCCGTAACTACCTGGTCTCGGAGAACCATAATCAACTGGCCCGTGAGCTCCGTAACTGTCAGGTCTCGAAACACCATAATCAACTGGTCTCTGAGTTCCGTAACTTTCTGGTCTCAAAACTCCATAATCAACCGGTCTACTGACACCATTTCCACCGGGTCTGTCATAACCCACTGAACCGCCACCTACATTGACCGATTGTTCAACAAAAGAGTTTTCACCCCAGTGCTGAGTGGGCCGAGAAGCTATAGCTGGATATCCTGGTTTCTGAAAACCCCAGCCTAGAGGTCGTGGGGTTGTGACTTCAAACCCAATTGGACGCGATGTACTCTGTAAATCAACATGGGGCCTAGAACCGTAATCGTGAGTGGTTGGTGTACCGTAGTCTTGTGTGGTTGGTTTACCATAGTCGTGTGCGGGTTTACCGTAGTCGTTTATTGGCTTATCATAGCCGTGTGCAGGTTTAGTGTAACTTGAAGTTCCGTGGTCGTATGGCCTGCCATGATCGACGTTCATCGGTTTCAAACCGTAATCTTGACTAGGTTTGTTATTGTAATTCTGTCCCCCATAACCATAACCGTTTCCGTAAGAAGTACCGTAGTCACTGTTGCTATTCCTGTCGATGTACTTGTATCCGCTGTTCATTTTGACCACCTCGTACGATCCGGAACCTCCCCAACCCATATAAGGTTTTTTTCGGTCTGGACTGTTTTCGTAACCGGTTCCCTTGTTGAAGTAATCATCGTCGTTTTTATCATTCACCTGATGTGAACCATACGCCGTTGAAGGTTTACTGGACTCGTACTTTTTCGGGCCACCAATCCATCCGGCTATCACTCCCACCTTCTTGCTTGCCTCATCCCAGCCGATGTCTTTGGGTGGTTGACTCTGCCAATATCCTGATTCTACTTTCACTGGATATGCTCCTTTGATACTCCACCGGTCGTTGGACGGTCTATGATAATTACCTTGCATTTGTGTTCCATGGCCGTCGGGAATATTAGGGACAGGATACGACATTCCTTGATAATGTCCACTTCCGCCGTTTCCGGAACCACTAGTACCATGTCCATAACCACTGTCTCCGTAACCACCACTTCCGCTGATACTGTTTCCATACCCACCACTTCCATATCCACCATTTCCACTAATACTTCCTCCACTGATACCTCCTCCATAACCACCAACCCCACCTATAGCTCCTCCGTAGCCGCCACTGCCACTACCACCACCCATACCGCTTCCATAGAAACTGTTGCTACCAACAACGCTAACTTTTTTGTTGTTGTGTCTTCGTTCCCATTCAGGGCTTAAATTATCGTAACCATTACCCCGGTAATTGGGATTTTTTATTTGACTGTCTGCGTTATGGGTGTTGTATATTTGAACGTGATTATCAGTAACGTGACTGTTACCGCCGTAGTTAGAACTACTCGACATATAACCGTTGCCATTAATATGACCGACCGAGTTATAACCGTTGGGCCGATTGTTCATGTGGCCCCTATTGTCAGTGCTATAACCATTACCTCGATTGTCGGAACCGTAACCAGTGTGTCGATTATCTGAACCGTGCATACCCGCACTACCTCGGTTGTCAGTCATATAACCGCTCACAGAAACCCGATTATCTGACATATAACCACTGACGCTAATACGGTCGTTTACACTGTACATCCCACCGTCGTGGGCTTGTGTCGTGTACTGAGATCCGGGCAATGGCGGTGGGACGTTCGTACAACGACTACATGGATCTATAGGCTGTCGGCTGTCCCAGCCGTAAGAAGATATCCCGCCTCGAGTTGTCCATGTCCCGCTGGCAGTGGTCGTCGGGTAATTCATCCCACTGCCATGATCCACCGAACATCCTGCCCCAGTCGTTCTGTATATGAGTTGCAGCAACAACACACACTTTACCACATAGCATGAGCTCTGAAACATATTATTATTGTTCGACGTTTATTAATATGTTTACTGCAACTAATTTCAACAATTTGTAATGCTTAATATATAAGTGGGTAGGTAGGTAACAAAATAGTATTTGCTGTACATTTACATATATTCTAAAGACTAAATAATATTCCAATAGAAATACATTGGTTAGTAACTAATAAGTACTTCAGAAATCGAAATACGTCTAACAATACATTAGCTATATATAGCTATATAGCTACTTAAAATAAAAGTGATTTCGGGTGCGTAAAGTTCAAAAGTACATAAACTACAAGTAGGTATGCTTAAAATTACGTTTACAAGTGTAAAACACTCGAACTCTGAAGTGGAATTGATTATATCGATGTTATTAAGTGGTTTTATTTAATAACGTATAATAAATATTTATACTTCATAGTAATATTGAACCATTTTAAATTTTAATATCTATAATGTGATTTAAATATCTACAGGTAATTTTCTCCGTTGCCCTTCATATCTCCAAACTGTGAATTTACTAGATGATAGGTTATTTTCATTTTCTTAACGCTTAACCCCTCACGTAATCACCATTTTGTTTTCAAAAAAAAAATGAAACTTATTTAATCACTATGACGTAAAAGTTGTTTATTTAGTTTTAAGCTTTATCAATAGACAACCAAAAATTAATTTTAAGAAATAGGAATTTCCAAAATCTCATTACAATGAAAAGTAAATGTTTAAATAACCATTAACTATGTTATAATAATACAAAAATAAAATTATATAGTTTATCACCATATGCAAAAACAATAAAAAAAATCAATGACCTAAAATAATTTTAAAACCATTTTATGCCGAAGCAAATTATTGATATAATATTTTGTATATAGTAGGTATACACTATATATAGTCATATTATCGTTACATTTCATTGATATAATGGCATTATGATATTTCTAGCTTGTATTTTTAAAAACTTATTTTTATCATAAAAATGACCTCATATTATGGTGGAATAAATTGCCTAACTTAAAATATTCACTAGATTATTGAAAATTTGAAACTATAATTACCTACGCAACAGTATAATATATCATATTTCATTATAAACGGGTTATAATATTACAGGTCATAACTCATCAGTATACCTAGGACATCGTCATTCTCTTGACACAAACATTTTGTGTTAAATTTCGATGTACCAAATACTAACATTTACACAGAATCATATAGCTATACCTTTTAACTTATAAATTACAACTAAACTATAAGATAATTAAATTACATTAATGTACCAATATATTATTTTAGTCTTTTTACTGAATATTTTTCAAATAATATTAAGATTTAAGATGTGGCATTTGATGTTGTAAGTATTATAATGTGAAAAACAATTTCAGCGAATTCTTGTTTACTCTTATTATTTTCGATTAAAATGTTACTTTGGAATTTTTTAATTTGTAATTATACTCACCTGTTTATTTTTAAATTCTATAGTGATGTAAATATTATTTTTCTGGTATCATATTCTGTCATTAATTTTGCTTCATAAAAATGCAAATATAAGTTATGTAAGTAATAATTTATAAAAACTTAAATACATATTTCCTACGCAGTTTTCCATCAGATTGTAATATTATACTCTTCGAAGAAAAAGTTTTCAATTATACCCAACACGGCGTACCTATATTAACGTCATTTTCACAAAGCTAAATCAATGCCCTTGGATTGCAACATTGTATTACTGGATAATATTATTTATTATTACATTTTACTATTAATACTGAACATAATTCATTATCGTCCGTGTAACTTATTACTTCAACCAATTAATAATTTTATATTTTTTTCAACTTGTATGCGATACCTAATGAATAATGATAATAGTTATCATACATATTTTATTAGGTATGCATTTTCAGAGTTCGCAAAAAGGCATTTGTTCTTTTCCGCCTACAATTATATAGATATAGGAACATAATATTAATATGCAATGTTAATGAATAATCATAATTAAATAAAAAATTTAAATTATTATTCTGATTGGTGGTAATAGGTTAGGCAATCATCATTAAAATATAATGGCAAATTAATATGAATGTATACTCGTTTTCGTTGACCAAACGGAAAATAAATAATATAACCTTCTGGCTATCTATAATCTTACTCGATTAATAATACAACTTGGTTTTATCAACAGAGTTTAACTTGTCAATATTGTAGTGGTCTGGCGGCTGCAGGTGTCGTTAAGAAATGACTCCAAGGCAAAAAAGGATCAATCTCTAAATAACGGGCTTATAAGTTACATTTTTAGGAACTAAAGGACAGTAGTATAAATTACATGGAGGCTAAGTGACGTTATCACATAGGTAATACAAACGCTGAACTCTAAAGTTATATAGACTGTAATTAGTTATTATTTATCAGTTTGTCACCCATGAAGTCACTTATAATTTTTTCAAAAAAAAATAACTTATTTATAATTGCAATTTGCATTGTTGAAGTTTATAACAAATTATACTACCTACCTAATTATAATATAAAATATTTTAATTGATTTAGGTATGTATAATATATACAACTAATTTCCTTTAAAACAACCATAGCTCATTTACAGGAAAACAATTGTATTTGAGACGAGTAGGAAAGTAACAAAATAATAATTGAAAATTAATATATTTTAGTAAAATAGTATTATAAGTTATACCTGAACATATATGACAACTTCACCATAGACAGATGAATATAACTGTACAGACATGGAATTAGAATAATAATTTTATAAAAATATGTTTTACTTAAGATTTTAACAATATACCTAAATACATTTTTAAGTGTACAAATGGATAGTCTAAATAGGATCTAAAAGTGATCAGAGTTTCATTTTGTTATGACGATATTGTTTTTTATGATAATTTAAAAGGTCCTATACAAACAAACATTCGACCGAACAACAAGTACTCCCATTATTACTAAAATTAAAAACTGAGAGTCCTGGATACCTAATTTTATATTGTTTGTTATTTACTAATAAGTAATATTATACAAATTAAGGTAAATAAAAAATTCCTTATCGTTTTTAACAGTTATTTTATTTTACTTACAATATTATTCTAACGTATTTCAATTGTATTTGTTTTATTATTAGAGGAAAAGAATCGGGTATAAGTGCCGAAAATTCAAACAATTTCATTAACAATGTTCTTGATGTTCTTATGACTTGGCCATAAAAACGACAAAAATTTGTTAAAAAAATTACACTGTAGAAAGTATCAAAAATCACTTTGAAAAAATTTTAAATGTTAAATATCATAAAAAAATGTTTTTTACAGCTCTATCGAAAACCTAGAAAAACGTCACCTCCTGGCTATTGATAATTGATATCTCAATAGGGGTAACATCGCAATCAGTTTGAAATATTTAAATAATGTGGTTATTAACAGGGATGCTCCTTCCTTAACGGCAAGGAGGATTAAACATAATAATATTACAGTTTAGAACTGTAGAACAAGAACGTAACTGTTATAATAATTATCTATTTCATACCTTACACATCTATCAGCTGTGTCATGGACAAATTGGTACCTAACGAAATAATTGCGTTCAACTAGGTAATTAAAACATATTCAAACTATACTAGTATGTCATTAAAATAATAATAGTATATTTTAAAATCAAAAAAAAAACCAAGAATATAAAATACGATGATATTATTTTTTCCAAATTCTTTTATTTTGACAAATACTTTGGTTGGTCCCCACTACCAGAATCTCAACCTGTGATACCAGTGCATGCATTTGGGTGCTATTGATTATTAAGCTACGCGGTAATGTGCAATATAGATGCAACGTTGTTGACCCGTTTATTCGTTGTCGATATCAATAAACTGCAGGTGATGTTTCTTAAACGTATGCTGTAGTTTATTATTTAAATAATAATAACAATGATAATAACAGTAGATCCCAGAGATGTAAACGGCTTATACATTTTCGTCTATTGTTTTTCGAATTTATTAAATCCCCTGCGCAAAATGTATAATGTGTGCGTATTTTCGTAAAAAGGAAATTACCGTTAAAATTTATTTTCGTAGGATCAACGCAGACGCAGGCTCAATAGCTAACTTTAAAACGTATTTTACTACGGTGATGATTATACAAAAAGATTTACCTTTGCATATTGATTAATTTATAATAAATTATCTCTGACAACCATTTAATTTGAAGTTTAAACAATTGCTTCAGTCTGCCGCCAATGAATATTTATAACCTAACAATGCAGTGGTTGCAAATTAAAATTGTGCAACCGTGTAGATAAATGAATCTTAAAAATGAAATTATAAAGCTCACCGTCGTTGATGACGAGATTAGACTAAAATTTTGCGAAGGCGATGCCATCAGATATAAAACGTTTAATTCAGTGGCCGATTCGAGTGCGAAACTCAAGCGCAGGTCTCCTCTATCGATTATCATTAGCATCATCGTCGCCATAATTTCAGTTTATAACATACTAAAATTAACATCAGTAATAGTTATACAGACAAATACCTGTCCGGCATAGGTTAGGTCACCACTAGTATCCTTTGGCATTATTGCAGTATTGCTTACGGTGCAATAATAATTTGTAATATTCGTCTATAAACCGTGGCAATGGGACAATACTCGGTAATCACTATTATAGTCATAATAATATAATATTACCCATGTCGTTATAGTTAACCGTCACAAGGTTCGTGACATATTAATATTGAATACACACGCTACATGCATAGAGCATAATATAATATAGTCCGTAAGCGACAATGACCCGATCCGGTTCGAAGATTACTGGCCGAATATTTCGCCTCATTGTTTCGTCTCTAATTGTTGGGCAATTTCCTCCCTATTTATTTATCTTTTTCAGCGAATTCACGAAAAGACAATGCTTTCGTCCTTGAAACGGTTCGTAAATCGCAACGGACTTGGGTTTTTGTTCATTTAAGGATTAACGACGACGCGTCCTACTCAGCGCGCTGCAGACGA